TATCTCAGCAAGTTCTTGCTTCTCTCTAAAAGAAATGGAAAAAAACCCAGAAGATTAGGCCAAAAGTTCAAGGATAGACTGCTGAGTCTATGCATCCTCTGCCTACATTGAGTGACACCTGTTACACATGGAGAAACTGCTGTTATTCCAATTTAATACTTATTCTTACATGGGTACAAGTAGTGCACAAGGCAGTGGAAAACAGGTTCCATGAGAAGCAGGAAAACATATTAGCAAAAATGTTCAGGCATTGGACTTCACCTGCCTGTGGCACCAACAGCTCCACATCACTCAGGTTTAAACCAGGAGGAATCAGCCACCTCATTTCTGCTCCGAGACATGGCCACAGTGCCAGACCCTTCCCATACAGGGCTCAGTTTGTGTTGGAAAGGGACAACAGGACACCTGACCTTACCACGAGACCTCTAAAGCAGAGGCTGGAAAACCATATCCCAGACTGTGAGTAGTGCTGGAGTAAGTGTGAAATCATTCCTGTGATCTCCTCTTTCCCTGCAGGTGCCATGGATGTTCCTTCCTTCCAGAAGAGACTTTACACTTGTTCTTTCAGCTCAGAGACTGTGGAGCTGATGGAAGCATAACACTGACAGTCCCTGACACTTAGCAATGCCTGCTGGAACAGTTACTGGGGTGAGGATGGGGTGGCACCACTCTGATGGGGTTTCCAACAGTCGTGCCTCATGCAGCAGAAGGCAGCTCTGCTGAGCAATTCAGTTGTGTTTTCAGAGATGAATGGGCGGGTAGCAGAACCTCTGCCTCCCCACCTAGCCCTGATCACATTGTTCTCTCAAATGTGCCAGTACAATTTTTTTCCTGCAGCAGCACTGTGAACCACACCACTTCAGGGGAAAAAAAATCCAACAAAAAAGCCCAAACAATGACGCACTTGTTAGAACCAACTCGGCTCCCTGATCAGATTTACAGCACACCAACAACTGCAGTGGCAGAAATTTGGGAGGCAATGTGCTGTGAGGCCAGGGCAGGAAAATGCAGAGAGATTGGAACATTTTAAGCTGATGTTGACAGCACAGACAACGTCTCATGAAATCAGATGCTTAACAGGTGGGAGGGTGACATAACAAGGGGAGGCATTAGGCTTTTGTTGAAAGAAATAAGGAATCAATATTTAATTACAAGAGAACTGCAATGAAGTTGCATTATTGAAACGATCTCACCAAGCTGATACAATATTTTTTATTAAAGAAAACCTAATAATGAATCTACATTAACCTCCAGACTCAGTGTTCACCAATACTTCCCCACTAATAAAAATAGACATTGATATGCTTGTGGTCAAGAGCTAGAAAGATCAGAAAACAGACACGGAATTAAGATGTCCTTTAACTCCATTTCAGTTACCAAATTGCCCTGACTGTTCAAACAATTTGTGTGAGTCTCTCTCTCTCACATTAGGTTCCTACCTAATGCAGAGCAATTGCTCTTTGCCAGGGTCAGAAAAAGGTTTCAAGAGCTGTGGATGGAAAGCAGAAGGAAAATCCCTTCTGTTATAATCAGCACAACATTGTGTCTTTGTCATTTACTGTTGTGGAGAACAATGAGAACTAATGATCCTTTTTGTGTAAATGCTTCATGATAACACCAAATCACACAGCAGCCCACGTGACAGCACCATTAGCCTGAGGGAGATGAATGAGAGCATTGTGGTTTTCCTAATAATAGAAAAAAACACAAAGCCATACCTGGGACACAGACATCTCACAGACACATTGCTGCCTTGCCCCAGGGAAGTGAACCATATTCTCTGGATGCTGTTTTGCTGTAGCACAAAGCTGTCAGGGGGGAGAGAATGCTGGAAACAGTGACATGAACTCTCAGCCAGACCTGTGACAGTTCAGACATCTGGCAGCTGTCCAAGGGCAGCTGGGGTTGGACAGAGGGCACAATGAAACAGAGCCAAAAAGATCTAAAGATCTTCAGCAAGGAATCTGAGATGTCACTCATTTCTCTCCAGGGAGCAGGGCAGAGCCCTTGGTAGGGGTGGGGGAGAGCAAGGGCCAGGCTAGCAGAGGTTTGAGGCACAAACAAAGCCAGTTCCCAGCAGCTGAGCTCAGGGAGAAAGGAATGTGAGAGATGGGGAAACTGGGAAGGAATTAGAGCTCAGGCATTTCAAATGAGCGCCTCTTCTTAAACTCACCAATTATTTCAGTCATTGCAGTAAAATGCAAGTAAAGTATTGTCCAAACAGCAGCAAGGAGACCGCCCTGACAGAGGGCTGGGTAGGAGACAGCAACACTCCTGGTTAATTAAACAAGGCAGATGAGGTGGCTCAGGGAACAGCTCCAAGGACAGCTGTGAAGGGAACAGCAGGTACCCATCCTCCACGCCCACGTGGAATGAGCAGATGATGCCAACCCTCAGGATACAAACGTCTCTGTACCAGAGGCTGCCATTTAGAATCACAGGATATCCTGTGTTGGGAGGGAGCTGTAGGTTCACAGTTTGTGGTAATTGGGAGTGGGGCTGCGATGAAGCCTCATCCCCAGTGGGCTCAGCAGTGAAGGCAATGGCACATGGAGGGCTGAGGTTACTGAGCAATCACCAAAGGGAACAGCGGGCACACAGGTGTAAGGCCTGTAAGGTGAGGGGAATAAAAGGTTGCACTGAAGAGCAATAAATGGTGGAACTGTCTGATGGGGTCTGGTTTTAGGCTATATGGGGATGCTTAAAGCTTTCGGGTATTGTTTGGTGGTGCTCTGTGTATTGTGGCTGTCTTGGCTGTGGCATATGCTGTGAATATGCTGCAACAGGGACCCACAAGGATTGTTGAGTCCAGTTCCTGGCTCTGCATAGGACATCCCCCAAAATCACCTGTGCATCTGGGAGCATTGTCCAAATGAACTCTGGCAGGCCCAGTGCTGTCAGCCCTTCCCTGGGGGGTCACCCCTTTCATGAGCTGCCTCAGAAGGACTGAGCACCCGTCCTGCACTTAGCCAAAGATCACTCCAGGAGAGGGCAGACACAGAAGTCAAACCTGCCTTGAGCCTTAGCAGTTCAGGATTGAAATGGAAGAGCCCATCTCACAAAGCTGGCAAATCTGTCACCTTCTGCATCAGTAAAGCCAGAGCCACACCTGGAAATGAGCTGTGCTCCACAGGCAGGTACAAAGGACAGCAGGATGAGAGATCAGTCCCCAGCATCTCTGAGCTTGCCAGCCCAGCGCCTGTGGAAGCAATTTCCACAGCAGGAGCTGTCCTGCAGCGCTCTGAGCAGCCACCAGCCAGCAGCACCCTCCTGTGACACAGTCCTGCAGCTGCTCTGCCTGAAACCCCGGAGCTGCACTTGCCTGGGCATCCCCAAATTCCCTGAAGGGGTGTCCCCTCCACCTGATGCGGCCCAGCCTCTGGTGAGTGCTCCACACTTCCATCCTGAGTTTGTATAAACTGTAAGACTGTGCTCTGTTAGACTGAGCTTTGTGGCTGCTCACCTGAAAGAGGGGACAAGCACTGCCGAGTGTTTTCCAGAGGCAGCCTCTGATCCAGCACAGCACTAAGCCCTTCAGACAAACCTTGGAACAACTGAGAACCAGAAGGGAGCTGGATATATAACATGCCAACATAGGCAAAACCCTCTTATTTCCAGCATCAAAGATGCAAAACCCTTTCTGCCTGTATCAAATTCTTTCTGCTCACTTGTTGAGCAGGGAGATGGAGCAACCTTGTGCCAGGCTACACTCAGCCTGTTGTTTCTTCAGCAGGACTTCAGAAACCTAGACAAGCACTGATCTGTGTAAGAGGCTCCTGTAACTATCAGTGCTGTGGTTCCATTGCCTTTATTTTTGTTACTTCATAGCTTATGGATCTGCTCCTGCTGGAGCTCTTTCTCATGTTTTAGTCAATCCACAGACTGAGATATTCAATGATATGAGAGGATGGGCAGAAACAGGGTTTTGTATGAGGATTACTTACAATTTAGTCCAAAAAAGAACATAGTTAGTGCTCTGGTGCAACTTCACAAGCTGGAAATACAGGGAGGTCTGGAAAGAACAAACCATAATTCTAAACGTAACTGGCAGGATCCAGATGGATCCATGCCCTCCCAATAGAGAAGGCATGGATATAATAAGGAGGAACTCTTGGGGTACTAGAAGATATAAGGAAACTCCGCAAAGCAATAAGTTTGCACATCTGAGGTAGTCCTGTCCCCAAGAACTTGCAAATTTGGTGCCCTGAACTTCATGAACCCCGGGACTACAGGCTGGAGAGCATCGCACAAGTACTACAAAGATTGTGATAAGCAGCTGTAAAGATTAGGGTAAGGAGATCCAAATCTGAGGCTCAATCTCCAGTATGGCAAGTGCATTGGTAGGGAATACGGAATCTGCAAAGATGGTGTACTTTCAGAAGGGGAAGGAGAAAGGATTGCCAGCACAGTGGCACCACTGTTTCAGTGAGCAGCACCTTCCCACAGGCACAGGTGGGGCTTTCCCACAGCGTGTGAGCTCAGGAAAACACACCTCATCCCCAGCATTCATTTTGAATATAGTTTACAGTCCCTTTTTGCTTCCAAATTGTCATTATTTTGCACTGATTGTGGGGATCTTTTGGGTAACTGAGCTCCCCTGTGTGTTTCTACCTTACTGAAAGCCAGAACTGTATCTATCTGGAAATGTTACTCTAATGAAGGAAGAAAAGATGATGCCACATTAAAAAATGCCACTGTGTAGCACATGACCACTATTATCACAGCTGTGGTGCCCACATTGATTATGAGTTAGGGCACCATGGCAAAACCAAAGTGTTTTAGGAACTGTTGGTGGTGCTTCAGGGACGTGCACAAGGCCGCGCTCCCTGAGCATGCTGGGACATGGAGTCCCCTCCGGGACAGCCCGCGCGGAGGGGAAGGCAACCGCGCACTACAACTCCCGCAGTCCTTTGCGCGCCGCGCCGTCTCCTAGGAAACGCGGGGATTGGGAGGGGGGGTCCCGCCAGGCCAGAACTACAATTCCCGTAGTGCCCCGCGCGGCACCGCCGCCGCCGCCGCCATGGAGCGGCGCGTGGCGGAGCAGCTCCGCAGCGCGCTGAGCCCGTTCGGCCTCGAGGCGCACGCCTTCAAGGTAATGACGTCACGGTGATGTCACGGGAATGACGTCACTTCACGGGGAGGCGGAGGGGAGCGGGTACCGGGGATGCGCATCCACCCTCGCCCGTCGCGGCGGCTCCGCGGGGATGTGCCCGGCCCCGCTCGTACGAGCGGGGCCGGGCACATCCCCGCGGAGCCGCCGCGGCGGGCGAGGGTTTATTCGCAGCAACCCGGGAGCGCGGGTCGAGGTGTTGTTTGCATGAAAAGTACAAGGCAATGAGAGAAGAGCCTCTAGAATTTGGAAGATTCAATGCCTAAAACACATCGGCAGAGTTCGGGGTAGAACACAGATGGAAAGAATGTGGCTGTCAGAAGGGAAAGATTTTAGCCAGCCCTGACCGGTGTTCACTGGGAAACCAGCAAAGCTTAGAGTCACATCTCTCTCATTCCTCAACATCTCACCTTCAGAGCCACAAAACTGATTTAACTTAGCGGTTCATATAAGAATGTAAACTTTATAGTTTAGAGTATATCACTATATATTAGAGTATATCACTTTAAGTTTATTTTAGGTTTGGGCCCTGAAGAAGTTAAGTTTATAAAGGTTTAATTGATAATTAATTTATATATTATTAATTTAATATATATTGATTTCGTAAAGTTAATATAATTTAGGGATTCTTTACTAAGATTGTTATATCTGTTCCCTAGGGAAAGTCATAATACAGCATAATAAAATGTTGGCTACATCTAAAAAAGTACCTGCCCCAAGTTTAGCAAAAATCCAACTAAGTAGTACAATGGCTGAATTTTTTTTTACACCTACAACGAACAAAAACAGAACATTCGGAAAGAAAATGATTGAGAACAAAAGTGATTTCTCTAATGCCCGGCACCGATTTTGAAGTTGCCAGGGTTTCTAAACTACTCCCAACCAAAGGCTAATGGCATTTTACTGGACTCCCCGAAGGACACCCCAGATCATTGAGTTTAAGTACTGTTTGATTCAAAAATTATTTTAAGTTTTTCAAAGGTCAAGTTTATTTAGCTAGCAAAGTTTAGTTTTTTTTTTTTCTTTAAGGATGAGAAGGTTTTGACTTAAAGAGTTCACAAAGTAATAATGAACATTGATTTAAGGAGACACAATTTATTGGATCCTTGGTTTTGTTTTAGTATTTTCTGTTTTATTTTAAGTTTATCAGTATATAAGAGTTGTAAAGGAATTTATTTTGAGTTTTCTGAGATTGATTTCATTGTTTAGTAATCAGTTTTATAGTCTGTTATTTCTTTGTATAATGATACAAAGGGTGTTTGTTTTCAAATCCTTTATTTTTAACTATTTAATGTTCTATAAACGTTATTGTTAAGAAATTTTATCATGTTATCGGGTTTTCATGTTATCAGGTTATCTGGTTTTTGTTCTGTGTTTCCTCATGGGCAGTCTGGCTGCCGCTGCCAGCTGCAGAGTCGCTACCAAAAATATTTCACTGATTATTTAGAATAACCAGTACATTTAATTTTCAAACCTACTGTTCCATTACTCAGCATCTCTCTGGCTGTTAGACCTGGCCTTGTGGCACCCTGGGAGACAGGGAGTTGTCATAACCTATAAAAAGACTGATGTAACTGTGCATGGCATGAGGAGTGGGGTGCAGGGGGTTTGGGGCATGTCCTCCTGCACTTGGCAGTTGCAGGTCTGAGCCCTGTCCTCCTCGTCTTGCTTCCTGCTGCCCTGCCTTGATCTCTCATTTCTGGACTGTATTATAACATGTCCAGCCCTGGAAGCAAATATCCAAATGTGGTTGTGTCATAATCCATGTGCTACTAGTAACAAATGTTTGGGGGGGGGTTTAGCACTGCCAAGAGCTTCACATCCTTCATTCCATACAAGTGTTTTCTGCAGAAGTAAAACATGCAACTTGTCACAGAAAACAGAAGCACCAGTTTCTTTCTGGCCCAAGATAAGAGAAAAAAAAAAAAAAATCCAAGCCTGTAAAAGCTTTATCTGAACGAAACAATCTGATTTGCATTGGCAAGACTGATTGCTCATACTTCCCTCTAGGTTTCTGAGCAGAGCTGGATAAAGGGCAGACTGGAGCTGAAGGCTGTGTGTGATTCTTATCTCACAGCTCACAACACAGCTTTCCCAAACTGTGAATCCTCGTGTGCAAAACAACTTGGTTTGAAAGGAAGGCCCTGGGCAGGTTGCCTATCTGGGTTGCAGATGAAGGGGGCTACAGTTATTTCCACATTTTTACATTCCTGCATGTGCACTAGAGTGGTGTCTGTGTTCTAATGGAAATTTGTGTTTCTTTGCCAAGGTTGGGTGGTACAATGCTGTTCTGCAGCCAGGCTTCCACCTCCCCTACCCAGATGACACACTGGCCTTCGTGGTCCTCAGCACACCGTCCATGTTCGACAAGGCCCTTAAGCCTTTTGTGAAAAAAGAACGATTAAAAATAATCAGGGATCCTGTGGATCAGTGTGTTTCCCATCATTTACTACGTGTGAAGGAGGTAAGAAGCCGAAACACCAATTCCATGTAGTGCTGTGTCACATCACCAGGTGGGTTGAGTGGCAGACAAAGCCCTGCAGGCTCCTGCTCTGCTCTCTGGAAGGGTGAAGCATTATTCATGAAGGAGGGAGCATCAGCAGGGTTTGGCTGCTTTACTTGCATGTTCTGCCTCTGGATGACACCATGCAGTGAGGGAGCTCTGCAGGCACAGGCTGAACGCCCACAGCCTCAAACCTGCCAATAGAGACAGAATTCAGCAGCAGGGTGTGGGAGTCTGCAGGCTTCACATGTGCCTGATTTGCTGCCATCCAGCAGTTCTGGAGTGGCAAAGCTTTTTCCATGAGCCTGGGCTGATGTTTTCAAATCTTCCCAGAAATTCCCTGACCAGAGGGTGGATGTCATGTTTGACTACGAGATGCTGCCGAGCCGAAAGCCCAAGTTCCTGGCACAGACAGCTGCCCACGTTGCTGGAGCTGCATATTACTACCAAAGGAAGGATGTGAAGCTCGATCCTTGGGGGAAAAAGGTGAGGCAGAAACACAGTCTGGGAAGAACCACTGAACTGCAACCATTGAACTGTACAATGATTGTTTGCTCACTAGTCACTAGTTCCTCTTGCAGGAAACTACGAAGTCCAGAGGACATTCAGGTTCATGAAGGGTTTCATGTGGGAATTGGAAGCTTCCAAGACTCTTCAAGGTAGCAGGGAGATGTGCATGAAGAGAAATATCTTAATCTGTTAAACCTACTTAGGCAGAAGAATAAATGGCAGTCTAAAGGAAAACCTGTTGCTTAGAGCATTATAGAGTGGGGGGGAAATGCTCTGTGGTTAATTTCTGTAATAGATTTTCAGAAAGGAACCTCTCCCCACATTCCAAGGAGGTGTGTGTGGGCACAGGAAAATGGGAGAGAAATGCAGTGCTTCGAGCCACACACGTTCAGGAAAGTTTTCCCTTCAGCTCTGTACAGCTCTCCAAGAGAAGGTTGAGAGAGTGAGCAGCATCTGATGTTTTGGACTCTAGCCTTGATTAGACACAAAGTGAGGCAGCCTAGATTTTTTTTTTCTTCCAGAAGATCTTTGGCGTTTGTATCCATCCCAAGTACGGCGGCTGGTTTGCTATCCGGGGGCTCCTGCTCTTCCCAGACATTCAGGTGCCGTTCCTGGAACAGCCTGCCCCTGTTGACTGTGTGAGCACGGAGAAGAAAAGGATTGAGCTGCTGGAGCAGTTCAATTTCCACTGGCAGGACTGGCGCTACAGGGACATCATTGAAGTGAAGGAAAGGTACTCGGAGGAGCAAAAAGCCTATTTTGCCACTCCTCCAGCCGAGAGATTCCGGCTGCTGGGGCTCTCACAGGAAGCCCAGAGAATCACATTTCACTGAGAAACCGGCGCGGTGGAGGGCAGAGGGCAGCAAAGGGTAACTCATGAGCACCGGCGGAGAAGGAGAAGAAGGAGGAGGAGGAGGAGGAGGATGGTTATGTTGGTACAGACGTGGCAAATCCGAGCAGCCTCAATGCAGACATTGCAATCAAAGCTTCCCAGAGAGAGGGGCACTGCTCCGCGGTCTGGGGGAGCTGGGAGCTGTCTGCTCTGTGCTGCTGCTGATCTGGGGTGTCCTTCGGGGAGTCCAGTAAAATGCCATTAGCCTTTGGTTGGGAGTAGTTTAGAAATCCTGGCAACTTCAAAATCGGTGCTGGGCATTAGAGAAATCACTTTTGTTCTCAATCATTTTCTTTCCGAATGTTCTGTTTTTGTTCTTTGTATGTGTAAAAAAAAATTTAGCCATTGTACTACTTAGTTGGATTTTGGCTAAACTTGGGGCAGGTACTTTTTTAGATGTAGCCAACATTTTATTATCCTGTATTATGACTTTCCCTAGGGAACAGATGTCCAGTCTTCACAGTCTTGCCTAGGTCACATTTAAGCATTTATCCATTCATAAAGCTGACTGGAATATTTGGAAAGATGCTGAGTAATGTCCATATGATTGGAGGTTTTACTCACGTTAAGATAACTGACTGAAAAAGGCAGTGGCCTTTTTTTTTCCAGGTAGACCACATTTGTGTTAAAAGTATTTTTCAGTGCCAGCACACAGCACGCCCCCACAGGTACTGCCAGTTTCCTGGTGTGCTTTCTGTGTGGCAAGGATTGTAAACCTGCACACACGTAAGAGCCATGGCACAAGGCCTTGTCATATGCACAGGCAAACAAGCACAGAAGAAAGGGAAACATTAATGGCATTCATGTTACTTATATTGCTGCATAAAACATGTTCAGACAGAAACATTTTTTACATGACTTTGTCCTGTTACATTTGTTCAGAGATTGCAATGCACCTGGAAATCAGGAATTAATTTATCTTTGAGCAATTTGAGGCTCAGATCTCGTTAAAGTAATATAATACATTAAAATAATATTTTGTGGGAGTTGTTTGACTAGACTGCAGTGCAATGCTGCAGATGGACAGACACTACTTTCCTTTTGATGGTATCAACATGATGAAGAAATACTCACTTTGCAGAACTGAGCCCTTTCTTTTTATGTTGGGATTCTTCAAAGCTTTTGGAGACCCCACCACAAAGGTTGCCCTTACCATTGTTCACTGCTTGATAGTCTGTACACTAACTCATTGTAATCCAAATTCAGGATAACAAGTTTGCTTCCCTGTAAACAGAGTGGTGAGTGTGTGATCACTGGGTTTGTTCACTGCATTTACTGTTACAAAAAAGTCTTTGTTGCTTTCCATGCTTTGTTCATTTCTGACTAAGGCAGACACCTGACTTAGAATGTGATAGAGGTATTGTGATGTTTAATTAATTGAAAGAATGAAATTTGTTTAAAATCAGTTCGTTACAGAAATGCTTCTGGTTCAAATTTGATGTTTCAGAACTTTTAAACTGAACTGTAATTTAACAGGGGCTTGAGGTAATGGCTCATACTAGTAACAAAGACAAAATACTGACCTCTTAGAAGGATTAATATAGATCTAAATCAAATCTATCTTTTTATATTACATTTTAAAGTAAATTATTTTGATTTTTTGGTATTGATTTCTTAAAAATATTTAATATTTTGTCTTAATTTATTAAACAGATTACCATGGTCATTGCATTTCAATTTCTGTAATTTATTTCTCTTCAAATGGTATTTTGGTTACTAAATATACAAAGCTCTAAGTAAACCTCAGTACTGAGTATTTTTTTTTAAACAATGCGGTTGTTAACTTGTGGAGAACTCAAGATGTTCAAGCAAGAATCAATCATGGTGTTTTATTATCCTGAAAAGATTGAGCTACCTAAGACACACAGAGTCCAGTATCTGAAAACTAAGGAAAAAAATTGTTATCTTAGCAGAAGTTGGTAAACTATTATCACAGGCCCACTGGGATATAACATATAAAACCTGCATCACATTATGAGTAAGTCCAATAAAGGTTTAGCTTTCCCAGGTCATTTCAGCAAGAGCATTAACAGCAAGCACCATGACAGTGCACTTCTCATTTCTTCCTCTGTTCTTGACAGTAACAAAGGTTCTCGATGTCCAGTGAGACATAACTGATGGACTTTCTCTCAGCAGCACTAAAGTAAGACCTGTAAGTACTGGAATTTTTACTGGTTAAAACCTAATAGTGAACAGTGACAGATCTGTGTTCCTTGTGCTTCTGGGAATACAGTTGTGTCAGGCAGAACAGAGTGCAAATATTTAGCAATATCCATTCCTACTACAGTGATTTTGGAGTGACTTGAACTGGGCATTACTTTCTTTCTCTCAGCCAGCTCACTGACATCCAGAGCTGCACAGTGAGATACACAGTGAGTAGACTTCTGGTTGGAGTATAATGGCCTTTGTCTTATAAAATTGAAGTTTGAGAACCTGTTTGACTTACCTCATCTCTTGGGACAAGACCAGACATGGTGAGGAACAGATCAGCCTTGGATCCTGAGGCGTTGTGAAGGCATTCTCAGTTTCAGCCCTTGCAAATGTCAAACAAGTAATTGCAAATACTTGGATAGATTTACTAGTTCAAGTGTCATATTTTACATTTTTAGACAAGCTTTTCTCTAAATCCTAATTTTAAAACATTAAAGACTCTTTTCCTCAGTATAACCAGTAGAGTGGGTATTCAAGAGCTGAACAGGAAAAATAAAAGAAATTAAAAGCAACTTGAATTTAAATTCAGTTTCAGCAACAAGATATTCAGTACATTTCAAGCTAATAAAATAGTTTATGGAGAATTAACAAGTTTGTAATAGTTTTATGCATTTACAATTTATCCTTATGTTTTCCCTATTTTTACTTCATTAACCTAAAAATAACTGAGACTTTTATAACAATTAAAGATTTGACAGATAATACCAGTTAAATACAAACCACAGTCTAACCTTGTGACCAGCAGCCATCGGAGTTGTTGCTCAGAAAAACCCCCACGAAAATACTGTTGGTGGTTTTTGGTATCAGTTTGGATCAGTTTCATTCTGTGATAATAATAATAAGCACTAAAGTTTCTTTGTAGTATGAAGAGGAGTGTGGCAACCTTAATTCCTGATACTGACTTGTTTCTTTGTCCCATAAAAAGAGTGGCTTGTAACAAGGCTGTTTTCCTCTGAACTATGGAAAATGAAAGATGTTTTGCTGTATAAATCAGTGCTGGTGTGTCAGACAAAAATAGCCATCCTTAGGACAGCAGGGATCTCTTCTGGTTTGTTGTTTGGATTAGGGTTTTAAAGTCTGGTTTGGGTTGAGTTTTTTGCTATGTTTTTGTTTTGGTTTTTTTTTTTAGGGCTAGATTGCCCTCCTCTGGATCAGTAGCATAATTTTGCTCATTCACTATAATATTAATGGTCTTACTCATTTGTGACGAAAATTATTGTTGTTGTAGCTACTATTTGACATGGGTTATATTTCTGAGAATGCACATTGACTTGAATTGAAATTAAATCAAAAACCCCCTGAGTTAAGACTGATGTATTTCAGAAAACAAGATAGTGGCAGCTACTGGTCAGTGCCAGTGTGGTTATCAGCACTCTTTGTTAAGCCTCATGCAAAAAGTGCATTTAATAAATTAGCTTTGAATACCGACTTCAGCAGCAGCAGCAGTTCAAAACTTCCTCTGAGGGTAGTGGTTTTGCTGCTCACTGCAGTAGAGAAACAGCTGCACCTCTGCAAGCTGAACTTTCACAGATTCATTACCAAAATAGACAAATGTATTCATGAGAGGGTTTGTGCTGTTACACTGGCTTCCTGTGCTGTCATGTATCCTGTGACAGATCATCCATCACGTTTCCTTCAGAAAACAGAACAGAGCACTTCCCTTCTAGGTTTTCAAGGAGGAAACAGAGCACCAAGGAACATAAATGAGCTTTCTTTTCCCTCCGTGATTGAAAAAGATGTTCACATTCCTTATGAAATATGGGAAAGTTGAAAGAATTTAATATTTTGTCATAATGAGCAGGAAGAAAATTTAGTGGAATGATTAAAATCTCTTCAGTAATATACTAAGATCTGCAAAATGTGATTATATATGCATACAAATATTTGAAATGGCTACTATCATTCACTAATATTACATCTGTAATTCTCATGTTGTCTTTGTTTATGTATGTACATAACTCAGTAAGAAAGCAATTTTACTTTTAATAACTGCATGTTTTCTTTTCCCCCAAACACCTTGAAGAGTTCTGAAGATCAGACACATTTATACTAAGGTGCTTGGGGATTTTTTTCCTCATGTAGAACAAACCATGGGACAGGAAAATTCCTTTGAGTGGATCACAGGAGTGGAGGGATTTTTATGTGTTTCCTAAATTTATGCAGAATCATTGCTTTTTCTGTGAATGTATAAGGAATTAGTCTTTTTAAAGGAATTAGTCTTAGGCTTTAATTTCATGTCATAACCTTTTTACCAGTATTGTTCAGACTAGTCTTGAATCATTCACTGTTGCTTTAGTCTTCCAAAACGTAAAAAACTGCCTTATTGTTGTGAAAGATGAATTTGATGAAATAATCAATTTCAGGCTATGATGTTTTATCAAGTGTAGATTGAAGACTTTTTTCCTTCCTAGACAAAAGATATGGTTTCATTCATCAGTACTGATACTTCAAAAATCTGTTGCTGTGGAATATGGAACATAAACCTACTGGACTTGGTGTCAGAGGACAGTGCAACCTTAATGACTTCACATATATTTAGTCACATATCTGTGCTCAAACCGTTTCTTGCACAGAAACATTCTAAATTCAGACACGTGTCCCCATAGTATGTACAGTGATTCAAGTTTCAGGTGAAAGAGCCAAATTTCACATTGAAGTCCAAACCTTTCATCACTAGGTGTGGTGAGAACTGCTTCCCACAGGCTCAGCTCCTGTTCAGGAACACTGCAAACAACTCACAGCCTGTTCTCCTGCAGCCACCCAGGGGTGTGCAGCACAGGGCCGTTGGTGATGCAGAGTTCTTTGACTCTGCATTAAAGGCAAACTCCTGGTTTTTATTTCCAAGGATTAAAAATAGAGGTACTATATTCATGAGCAACAACAATTTCTTTGATTTCCTTGTTCAGTGTTCTTTTTGTATGTAGCATTAAACTGTATTTAAAAAAAAGGAGACAGTAACAGCTCTAACACTTTCTAAATTAATTGTCCAAATATGCTGCATTCCACTACTCTGCACTTCCCTCATTTCACCCTTTGCAAATTAGAGCCAAGACATTTCTGGTTTAAGTCCTCTATCTGTCTAGCAGTATACATCAGAATACACATTTGCAGACTGTCACATAATACAATACTGAGCACCAGACCCACTGAAAATTTCAGACTATTAATGCAATAAACCTGAGTATTTTAATATAATCTTTACATAACTGTTATTTTGATGTGTAACATTACTAAAAGCTGCTTTCATGGAGCTTTTGCAAACAGACTTTCCCAACCAAAGGGCATCATTTTGCAATACCTGTGAAATATAAAATGCTTGCTTTTGTTCTTTGAACTTTATTGATTTGCTGAACAATCCAATAACATATTCAACAAAGGCCTGATAAAAAGGTGGAATACTTGTTAAGAAAATTCTTTAGAGAAATTTCTTTAGAGAAAACATTAGTTTGAAAAAGAATATAGTACTTTTAAACTGTAGTAACTTTCTATACTGTTTTTCAAAACTACTGAGAAGTTCGCTTTGTAACAGAGTGATAATTCTTTAAATACTAAGCGGCAATTTCTTTCTTCCAAGCATCTAAATATAAATACGCATTTGTTAATTTTGAAATTACTAACTCAGAAGTTGTACAAAATCGAGTACAGGTTAAATTCTATATGTTGAGTATTGAACATCACATCCTATATATGCCAAGGTATACAGAATTTATGTCTGATGCACAGCTTTGTATTATACATTAAAAAAAAATTAAGTTGCTCCTACACAAACACTATTATCTGAAAATTTAATTACAAATATCCGTCACAAACATGAGGGAATATTTTTTTTTATTCTAGATATGAGAGAGCACGATGTGTGTGTATTGGGTTTGTGTGGCAGAGTTTAGTAGTGGGGGGGTGACAGGGGTGGCTTCTGTGAGAAGTTCCTTGAAGCTTCCAAGGAAGCCACCGCCAGCGATCTGTGGGATAACAGAGCTAAGAATGGGGGGAGGATTGTGCAACAACCTGCAACTGCAGAGAGGAGTGAGATGTGAGAGAAACAGCTGTGCACACACAAGGTCAGTGACGAGGGGGAGGAGGTGCTCCAGAGCACAGATTCCCCTGCAGCCTCATTATTTTTCATTATCCTACTCTGATTTGATTGGTAATAAAATTAAGCCAATTTCCCAAGCGTGTTTTTCCTGACACAGTAAGTGGTGAGTGATCTCTCCCTGTCCTTACCTCGACCCATGAACCTTCCACTCTATTTTCTCTCCCCTGTCCAGCTGAGGAATGGCTACATAAATCCCCAGGAATCACAGCAATCAGTAACAAATTAAGAGATCTAGGATAGAGACACAGTAAAATATATTTCAGTTTCCCTTCACCTGACTATTCTAAAGAAATAAATGAATAAAGGTTATATTCATAATAAGCACTCAAACTAGGAAAATAGATGTGCAGTCACTCACACATTAAAAAATAGCAAATATAACATCTATCCTTTCTGATTTACATCTTCAGGGAAAATCCCACTAGATGACTACCCATCCTGTCACATTCAAGAACTGCTTGAGTGAGGTTTTTACCTCACTGGGAAATACAGCACCTGTTGATTGTGAAAGCAAAAGCAGTTCGTAATTGTAATGAAAATACAATCTGTATCTTGATCCATGGAAAAATTCATAGTTACTAAATTATAGTTATTTGAATACCATGAAAGTTACACCAGTCTAAGATGTCATGATGCAAGGAGTGGGGTGTAAGCCCCAGAACACTTACTGGAGGAGATTCCAAGCTACATCTGAATCAATACAGACTTGAAACAAATAAATAAAAGTTAGACTCTTCTTGGTTTGAAGAAGTTCTGTTACCCATTTTTTTTGTGTGTTATTTTCTTGGAAATGTAAATTATGTAAACATTAAAATGACAGCATAGCAAACCTTCCTGGGAATGACTAGTGTGGCTGAAGAATAAAAAAAGATGTTTAATTGCATTGATTCCCACTCTCAATCCTTTGATGCACACATGTAGTACAGTTCCTAATGCACAGGGTTTTGTTTCTTGGCTGTTTGCAGTTTCCACAGTATCAGCACTCACCTGTGACTGTGATGCTTAAGCAGGTACAGTGTGTAGCCTCCCAGTGTGGGGGAGCTCAAGGTGGGCAGGACACACAGGAAATTACAGCATGTGAAGGGAACTCCTCACAGCAGAGGAGTGGGATGAAGAAATGAGCACAAAGGGTTTCTACAGGACCCTGCTATGCCCAGATGTGCTGCAGGGCAGCTCTGACCCCTCCTCCTGACAGCGGCCACAGCAGGACACAGCAGCTGCTGCGGTTGGAACCACCCTCAGACCCTCACTTTCCTCCCAGGCCCTGGGATGGGCACATAAAGATCCCTTCTGGGAGAGAGTTCAGGAACAGAACATGAGAGAACTCCTCTATCCTCTAGGTCCAGGGGTAGGTGACCAAGTAGCTACAAAATCACTCTGTACAACTATCTAAAAGGGGGTTGTAGTGAGGTGGGTTCAGTCTATTCTCCCAGCTAATGGGCAATGAGACAAGAGGAAATGGTCTCAATTTGCACCAGGATAGGTTTGGATTAGATACTAGCAAAAGTTTCTTCACTGGAAGGGTGGTTGGGCATTGAAACAAGCTGCCCAGGGAAGTGGTACAATTATTACCAGGAAGAATTAAAAAAACTATGTGTATGCCACACTTGGAGACACAGTGCCCTCCAAGTAACTGCTGTCATCGATTTTACATTTCAAGCCTAATGTAACAACTAAAGTAAGTTTTGCATTAGCTTAGCCCAAACTTTACTCGTTTTCACTTGCTAGAAAAGAAAGTTGGGTAACTTCTTACTCAGCCAAGCTCATTTACATACATTTTACTTTAAACCATATAAATGCCCCTGTTACTTATCAATGTCTTCCTGGGAAGCTGGCCTCATTCATTATCTTGAGATTTTGGATTTTTTAAAATTAAGCAGAAGTGATCCAGCTAAACATTACCTTCATGTATGTTCATGGGGATTAGCTACTTCAGCAGATATTGAAGTATTTGGTACCAAGGCCTCTGCCACATCCTTTTTGGAGCTGTACAAAACACATTTACTACTCAAGGCATACAACTTTCACTTTTGAGTGACACAAGTAGCCCTGGGCCTCATCTTTGGTGTTGCTGACTTTAAGCAGGACAGAACTTGTTTACGACTTGAGCTGAAGATGGTTACAAGGTCCAGTAAGAATTTAATCTTCACAGGTACACGAAGATCACAGGGCTCTAACTCCCTTACCTTGTTAGGCAAGAGCTCACACCCACATCCTCAGCTTTGAAGTTTAGCCCTATCCCAAGCCACACTGAACTGTGAAGCTACACAGCAGTCACAGCTTTGGTGTAACTTAAGGCCAGTCATGTGCTCTGAGTTTTATATAACCACTTAAAATACAAAGATTAAAGACAAGGCTGAGCACACCTGAGTACCAGATTTTATAATGCCACCCTTTTGATCTGACTCATATGACTACAAGCCAATGGATAACTGGCACATTATCATCCCCGTGACACGTAGTGGGAAAAACTGTGGATGAATGTTTTATATCCAAGGAAGTTTCCTTTCCAGAAAGCCCAGGATTCCACTCCCACAGAGACAGCAATCAAACTCAATGCTGGATTCCCAGGAATAACATGAACAGTCAGTTTTGGCTAAAATAGATGCCAGAATGGCTATGCTGACATAGTGCATTAGGAGATGTCCCATCTTTGTCAGTCACATGCTCCACGCAATACCACAGTGCCCAGAGTTTAAGCCTGACAGCCTGATCCTCCATCTAGCAGCCAAGTCATGAAGAGTGTGAGGAGTACATCATGACTTCAACATGCAAACCAAGTCTTTTTCTCTCCATTCTAAAGGAGCTGTAGTAAAAGGCCTTTAGGACTCAAGATATGTCTACAGAAAGCTTCCAGAGTGCAGCCTGCACTGCTCCCAGGTCTCCTGATGACTACATACAAGAACAGTAGACAGTGTGCTATTTTCACAAGTTTAATAGAGTTACAAAAGGATACCACTGCTCTATGTAACACATGGCTAACCACAGACACTGCATTGTCACTAAGGTCAACAGGGCTTGATGAACAGATACTGATCGTTAGGATTTGCTATGAAGGTACTGTCAACAGGACAAACTTTCCTTCAAGTAAAAAAGTTACTGTTAATAACTATAACATGATCCCTTGACTCAGATGCAATGACTTAATCAAAGTTCAGTAACTGATACTTGCTCTTTATGTAAGGCATTACTAGCTTCCACTCAGGCTGAATGTTTATTTCTGCTTGGCGAAATACTCTTTACTTTTCTGAACATCAGGCTTGATTGTGTCACTCCCAGGCTTCCAGCCAGCTGGGCACACTGAAATGATAAGAATGTTTAAGTCTTACCAGCTGCTCCTGCAGAACATGTTTTACACAACATTAAAGCAAAGTAGCAACTCAGAACATGTACAGATCTTTGCAACACACAGACGGTGCATTCATTGTCACATGATGCTCTGTTTTGCTTGTTTCTATTTGTTCACTGGGCAGTAACACCCAGACCAGGTGTCTGCCCAGGCAACAGTGGGCACTTTACACAAGCACTTCTCCTAGCCCCACTTAAAAGCTTCTGGGAAGTTTGATAGCAAAGGTAACACCAACTCCAGCACCCAGGTCAGAAAGGCTCTAACACCACACTACACTTATCTCCTTGGATCCAGACTAGTGTGTATTCCCCTTATCTTTAATCCACCCTAGTCCAGCCCTCCAGCTGAATGGGGCAAGGGAAAGAGTGTTCAACTGTCACTGGCTCCCCTACATGGCTATCAAAAAGCCACCATGATGCAGAGGTCTCAAACTTCCAGCAGGTCCTTGAGCAGCATTTTCTGAACAGTGCTCCTTCTTTACTGCCATGGAATGCTGGATGATAGCTCCATTCAGGACTGGCAATTTTAGCCACAGAATGCCCAGCTTCTGAGTGTTGCTACACATCTTACTCTGGTCTGTCCTGATTTAGATGTGACTGCAGTCCTAAAGTTCTAAAGGAAAACCTTTTGCCAGGTTTTGATTAATCAAAGGTACAGTAAACCCCAAAAGGCTTCATTTGCATGACACCGTGACCTCTCCATCATCAAATGTTTGGGATGTCTCCTCACATATATTTATATGCCACAGTCACAAAAGCAGTTTATTTTAATAAAACCTGCCACTGATTTACCACTTCTGGAGCACAGTAAGTATGACCAGCGGCAACACATGTCATTAGTTAATGACAACCGAAGACTATTAACACCTGCATAACAATTTTGAGTTTCTGTATCTTATTTCTAATTTTTTACCGGCAGTGCCTTTTTTTTTTTCTTTCACACCAGCAGAAAAGCTGGCAGTATCAAACACCTTATTCCTTCTGAACTATGGGGACAAAGACTCATCCATTTTACCCTCACTATATACTGACAGAAAGATCAGCAGACTTTCAGGAATTTTAGTAGTTAGTCTAACAGACTACATAAAACACTACATTAGTATTGATGGTCTCAACCTACCAAATCTGAGAGCAGAATCTAAATCAAGCTTACTCTTACAGGCTAAGTTACTACATGTTCTTAATTTCTGTCTCAAGTATTTTCTGTGTCTAATTGAAAGATGGACAAGACATCCATCACCAAATTGATTTAAATGAAATCTCAACATGAGCAAGTACTCAAGGAATAAATAACTGGAACAGGATAAAGCATTATGGTGTCCTTCAACAAGCAGATTTACAGAACCAGCTGCATTTCAACAGTCACAATTACCTGCTGTGCACAGACTGATACATGTACTTAGTACCTTTCAGTAACCTGCCTAGTTAACACTGCTCTTCAGAGCAAACATTAGATTGAAAAGCTCTCTTACCTTCTCCATGTTTATCTGTAAACTGGAAGGCCTGGACAAGTCTGAGGGTTTCATCAACAGAACGGCCAACAGGAAGATCATTGATTGTAATCTGCCTCAAGATCCCCTTCTCATCAATTATGAACAGACCCCTAAAAACAAACAAAAACTAGCCTTGAAGTTAAGTATAGCTTTTGAAAGGCTGATTAGACTGACTTGAGTTTCAAAACCTCAGGTTCACTATTTGATTATGGCACCATTTATGCCATTTACTGTGACCTTTTCCTAGAAACTAACACATTGGTGCATGCACAGCACTGGAACAGTAGCAGCTGGAACCCCAGCAGGAACTGGAGGGACAGGAGGGAAGTCAAAGCACTGACACAGGAAGATACTACTTAAGGAAGATACTAGTAGGGGAAAAAAAGGAAGAGAAATCCAAGGAGAAAACAAATGCAAGGAGAGACATTCTTACATTTAAAAAACCTCACTACACACTGTTCTCAGAAAGACAAGCAACAGCTCATCAGTCCTCCAACATCAGGTTAAGAGTTACCAGAAGTTCAGCTCCCTTGGCAACTTTTATGGACAGCAGACTAAAGACTTGGGGTTTAATTAATCTGCACTTTGATCACTAGACTAAATACTTGCAATCATGTTCAAGACTACATATGTCTTTCAGTACCACTGTTTGCAGCTCACGTGCATGAGACTCCTGCACTGAGCAGCAGGCAAAGGGAAGCAGAATTTATCTTGAAAGTACTGCAAGCCTAAGCACCGCAGAGAACCAGGGACCATCTCCCCTTGTAGGAGTGTCTGACAGCCTGCAGGAGCTCACACCTAGAACAGCCAACAGCTTTAGCTGCCTGCAGGTGTTCAAGTGAACACAAGCTGTGTTCATCTCTCATGTCCATGCATTGCGATGTTACTTTATCAGCTCCTTCACCTCTGGCACATTACCTGTATGCAATACCTTCATCCTCCTTCAGCACTCCGTAGTCTTTGGCAATGGCACGTTTTGTGTCAGAAATCAGGGGGATTTTCATAGTGCCCAAACCTCCCTGTTTCTTAGGAGTGTTGATCCTAAAAGAAGTTTACACATTAAAAACATGGGCATATCAGAATGAGGGCTCAAAATACAACAGAAGCTGATCCTTTCTGCAATATCATACTCAATCTGCCATGTAGCAACAGAACTGATGGCAAGTATGCTCAGCTCTGTTCAGCAGCACCTGGCACTACCAATACTTACCAAGTGCCTTTGAATACGCTCAGGACTCAGTTCCTGCAAGAACTGAGGCCAGGCAGAACAGTCTGTTGGGTTAAAAGGCTGATTCTTACCAGGCAAGGTGACAGAAGTGAGAGTCAACAGAAGCTCCAATTACTTCACAGTTGATTTTCTTGAATTCATCAGCTCTGTCACTGTAGGCAATGATTTCAGTTGGACAGACAAAAGTGAAGTCCAGAGGGTAGAAGAAGAACACAACATATTTTCCTAGAAAAGAAGTACAAGCAGTTAATCTGTTTGTTTTTTAAGAAAAAGCAAACAAACCCCACCAAAACACAGGAAAAAACCTGAACAACCACCTTAAAACCCCACCTGACTGAATTCCACAAAACCAGACTGTCAAATTTTACAGGGAATCCTTGTCTCTTAGGTCTACTCCCACAGGCCTGCCCCAAGTACAGCTCTGGGTATGCTATACCAGAAGACCCCATGGCTGACCCTGAACAGAGAAATGCCACAGATCTGAAAGGTTACCAGACAAGGAGACATTTTAACAGAGTAGGTGAGTAGTCTATACCGACTCATCACCTTCGTGTAGCTTGCAGCATCATTAGAAATGTATTTCTAAAGCCATCAACATGAGTACTTGATTACTTCAGGCTTTCCCTTGGTTTTTAGTAAAGCTTTTTTTGGCAAAGCAAACATATTGCCAGCATTCTAAAGAAAGGGACTTAATTAGATGAAAGAATTTACTTTCTATTGACAACGATGAGACAGAAGATGTTGCTGTTCCACAGTCTGGAAATGTTACACCAGTCTCAGTATGATACAGGGCAATGAGCCTGATGCAAGGTAACAGTTCAGAGGAGTTTTATGCTCACTGTTAACAGTTATCACAGCTGGGACATTCAGTCAGGCTGCTGACAGCCTTCTAAGCATACTGCAGCCACCACTGCACAAGTTCTGATCTTCAGTCCACTGCCAAACGGTCACTAGCATTTCAAAGCCGAACCAAGGTGCACCTTCAGATACCCTCCAGTCCTTCCTATGGCCAGACCATCTGTGTAATTAGAGAAGCACAGGAAATTACCTCTGTAGTCGGAGAGCTTGATGTCTTTGAACTGTCCATCTGGCATTACAGCCGTGGCAGTAAAGTCAGGAGCTGGTTTTCCAATGAAAGCCTTTCCTGAAGACATCTTGATTTAACCTAGACAGGAGTCAACACCAATACAGTTTAGATGGCAGTACATTTGCAGCTGGAAGTAAGGATTTATTCAAAGCATCTTATCAATCTGGATTAAACACCAAAGACAGTTTATGAGCACTCAGTCTTGAAACAAGGCTTAGGGGTTAAATGAGTTTTGTCACCTGGGTAATTGAACCACTACAGAGACTGCCAGCACTTCAAAATGTATGGCTCATGGTGTCCTAAAGATACAGTAGTGGTTATCTAACCAGTAATAGCTCGGAGTCTGGGAAACTCCTAGCCTAGAGCTTTGCTAGTACTCAGAAAACCATACCATTCCACATGGTGGAAGAGTAGGAAGTATGTTTTCCAGAATTTTCAAGGAGAAGAACTTTGTTCAATTTTACAAAGGAATTTAAGACCTCAAACTTGAGCTTCCTGTCGATTCTGAAAGAAAATAACGTCTGTTAATCTCCAGGGAACATTGCTCTGCATAGCTACACTTCAACCTTTTGAACAATTAAATCCTTTTTTATTTGCAACCAGAAAAACTCGTGGCACACATAGAAATCACATTCTATGTTAATTACAATTTCACCGAGTCTAAATCAGGACAGCCAGGTTGTTTCCCCTTTATTTCTATTGAAAAAGAAAAAAAGGGTACACAAGGATAAGAGAATGCTACTTCTGGCTGTCTCCCCCAAAAGCTTGTCATCTGCAACACATCCCGTGCAGTATTTTTGCTCAGTCTGGGAGTGTAGTACAACTCTTTGGACTTCCAGAGCATAATCTTTCAAATAGGCAACTCTACAAACATAATTTCTGCAGATCACATAATATTCTTAGAAGCTATTTCACTTCATTCTACACACTGCAGCACTGGCTGCCTCGGAGATGAAAAACACCTCAAAGGTTAGCATGACTCTCGTGTTGCTAAGGAAAGCCAAGAGCCAAGGATTGTTCCAAGTTGTGCCTGCAAGGCACCAAGTCCGTTCTAAAAAAAGTTGAGAGCACCTCATTTCTTGGCTCCTTCCCCCTTGCCAGACACTTTTTTTCCTGGAGAACTAGCCCACAAGTCAAACATTAAGCTTTGAACCCACATCTAGCCTTTTTAGAAATGGTTTCCTTTTGGAGGTTTCTTTGCACACCCTGACAGTAATAATCCACCTCTTTATTTTCGTTTTGAGAAGTGCCCACACACTCAGCATTTCTAACTGTAAAACAAAGCTCCTTATCCCCACGTTCATCCGAGGGTTTTTAGTCTTTAACTGCAGCAGACTGGGAGAGAATATGGTGGCCAGGACTTCATTTGTAGGATGAAGTGAAGTAGCCTGGCAGGAGGACATCAAGAATCCTGTACACACAAATGCAGCTGTGGCTCTCAAAGTAAAGTTCTGCAAGAGGGACAGAAGAACAGCAGCTGCACAGTATTTATTTGAGATGCCTCCAACTAGCAAGTTTTATCTTACAAGCAAGAGCTGCTCAGCCTGGAGCGCACGACCCCACATTTTTATCACTGAATTACATTATTTTCTGTTATCCAAGCTCAAGGTCATCCTTTTGCTCAGTACTATGCCAGTCCTTCTATATTTATTCAATCAGCAATCCTCTGGAGTATTTCACTAGGTATTCAAGGTCAGACCGCTCTTTGATACTTCCCCTTTCTAAACTACAAGTTATTGCCCCTTTCTCTGGTACCATTAAAATCTTTTAATATTTGCAGGAGACTTTGGTTGCCTCACACTTCAAGAGAGCCATGTGCTTTCCTCAGAGCACCGGCTGTGATCTGCCAACCCTTCTGCTATTCCGTGTGGGGTCCGTGCGTGTTCTGCTCGGATTTTTAGCCACAGCATTTCCTAACCCGCAGAGGAGCAGACCACAGAATCATTGTTACTTCCGTTCATTCTGGAGGAAAGTAGAATGAGCACCTTAAATCAAATACACTCGAATCTGGCCAGAGCACCTTTGTTGCTCATAGCCGCAGACGGCCTCAATTATCTTCAAACTGCAATTATAATGAGCCAGGCCTGCTCTCTTGAGCGAGCGATTTCATACCTTTAGGGTGCCTTGAACAAAAGCGAAAGGCCGTTTCAAACCGCGCCATCAGCCTCCCTCTCTGCCACCTTCACACTGTCACACGAACGCAGTCAGGCCACCGCAGCCGCGCTCGGGGTGCGACACCGAACCGCGGGCACCGCGCACGGACCGCGGCACGCGTGGTGCCCCAGGGGCTCCGAGGGGCCTCCGAGCCTTCCCCCGCCCAGCCCGCCACTCCGGGACCGGGGAACCCGCCCCCTGCACATCCCCGAGCCGCATCCAGCGCTCGGCTTTGGGGTTTTTTAAGGCTCAGGAGCGAGATGCCGCCTCGCTTGCCGGGGAAGGGGCCGCTCGGCTCCCTGCAGGCGCCCTGCGCGCTCCTTCCCCGCGGCTCCGCCCCGCGCAGCGCTGATAAAGGCCGGAGCGTTGGAAGGACTTATCTGCTCGCTCTCCCCGCCAAAAAAAGCCCAAACCAACACCAGGGGAAACTGAACACGGCGGTTCAGACGGCAGCGATCCTTCGGGATCGGGACGCGGGGAGAAAGGGCTCGCCCCACGCATCTGAGCAGAGGGGGAGGGGAAAGCGAACAAAAAACCCACCCAAAACAGCAACAAAAACCACATAAAAATAAAATGAAATTTAAAAAATAACCCAAAGCACTGTGCAAAGCCCGCAGCAACCCCCAGGGCCCCGCACACTCACTCGGAGCGCACAGCCGATCCGAACACTACAGACGCTCAGCCCGGCCCGCACTGCCGCAGCCCCGCCGCGCCGCCCCCTTTATAGCGGCGCGATCTCGCGAGCGGACGCGGCGGGGAGGGAGCGCGGCCGCGCCTGCCAGGGCAGCATGACTTGGCAGATCCGGGGCCGCCGGGGTGAGGGCGAGCGCGGATCGTTCCCTGGAGAGAGTCCCGGGAAGTGCCGTGCGAATATCCAGTGCCGCGGTTATAAACGATTGATGGGCTTGGTGCAAGAAGCGATGGCATTTTTAGTGCCTTAATTGACCTAGCTATGATTATTTGAAGTCCTCAGAGGGCACGCAGGACTTTGAGAGAGAGTAAGGATGACTGGCATGTCATTCATGTGAATTAAGTGTTGGCCATTGACAGAAGTGAAACGAAACCTCTCACGAGCAGAGCAATGTGTGTTCGCTGTGTTACAGAGGTGCGGTGTCAAATCTCCATCCTCTCGCTCTGCCCCCTCTCCCTGATACTCGTCCCAAGGCTTTCACTGATTCTTCTCCATCAGTGGGAACACCGATCTCAGCCATGCAAGTCAGCAAAAGAAAGATGAAAACTAAGTTTAAAGTCTAATCGTTGAGCTTCAGCTGTAGGATGGAAACTCTTGGAAGATACTTCAGGGAGTTTTGCATCATTCTGCAGTGAAGCTGCTCTGAGTGACGTTTAACATCAGTGATTTCACATAAGTGCTGTCTTTGAATCTAAAAGTGAACAAGGAGTGTGGTACTTTTTAAGGGCCAAATTTTGAATTTAAATGTGAATTTATTTTATTAAATAATAAATACCTAAAGCCATCAAGCCATATCAAAGACAAAAATGCTTGCTTCTGTCAAAAGTGATAAATGTGCTCACCAACTGATTTTTACTCATCTGTTTTGCAGTTTACAGTTGTGTTTCGTATATTTTTTAAAACTTGATTATAAATATTGATGAGGAGAAAACCACAAAGGATTAACAAACTTTAAAGGTTAATAATCAAGATCACTGTGTAGTGTTGCTGGGTAACTATACCATTGTGGTGGTTCACCCAGAGATTATTCATTTTGGGACCAGATGAAATTTATCCTTAATGAATACTGAAAGCAAATAACATGCATATAGGTACTCAGGAAAAAATCGGCACTCACTTCCATGCAACTAATTTATCTACTTCTATTGCTATAGCATGCTTAATCTTTTACAGGAAGAAGTTTACTTTCTTAACATCAGCACTGTCGTGAGAATTGAGGTCTATATATTGAGATATGTATGTACTTCCCCATCGCCTCAGGCCAATGAACATGTGAACAGATTAACCCCTGAAAGGTCAGGCAGTTCTAATTAAAACCTCCAGAACAATGTAGTGCCACTGCAACGCTGGCATGTTTACCAATGGGCAAAGTAATAATGATTTTCCCATGGTTTCTGACTCCTTTAATGCTTGTTATGCTGATTTCTCATAATTTCAGATGCACAATATACCCAGTATGGTCTGCAGGTTGTTCCAGGTTTGTGCTGTTAAGCATTGCCTTTCCATTCAGATGTCTGTGGCCTCATTACTTTTGATTAATTTCTGAACTTGTCTTTCCAGACGTCAGTTTTTGGAGGTTTTGGAATAATAAATTGTCAGGGCCACTCCTTGTTCAGTGAGCACCTGGGTTTCTGTAGCCTTTCTCAACCTTTAGATGTAGGATGCTATTTAGATTAAAACAATCATGTTTTCCAGGAAAGCAAGGGCATGTCTACCCCCGCAGGTGCTGGAAGGATGGAGTTCGCTCCACACAGCAGTGTAACTGTGCTGTCCTGTACTGATAAAATAGCTGCCAGACAGGATCAGCATGGAGCATCAGTGTCGGAACTCAAAATGTCCCTCAGACATTTTTAGAGGTTCCAGGCCTTGGTCAGAAGCATTTTAGACCCTGGCAAGCAGCTGAAAACAGCTGTGATTTTGAGTTTGAACCATGGAATGAATTACCAACTTTAAAGGTGGAACAAGCAGTCACAGAGGGTTAGATGATATAGTAAAAGTAGTCACAAATTAGAGGGGAAAATTTTTTAGTATTGTACAGGGGGGTTTTAACACCTGTACAGGGGGGTTTTACTTTGTACAGGGGGGTCAGGAGTTCTAAGATGGAGGAAAGTGGGCCTGAACCTGTTCTTCCTCCTTCTTCTTCCTTACCTCCATGTTCTTGGTGATGTTGGCATTTTTCTATTGGTTTAGGCTAGGGACACACTATTCAACGTAGATGATAGATATTGGCACATTATTGTAAATATAGTACACGTAATTTCTTGTATATAATGTTTGTACCATCCCACTGAGGGGCAGAGTCCCGCACACTGCCCTGCAGGACAGACCTGCGGCAGGGCAGCAGAACTTGTTATAGATAAGCAAAAATAAACAACCTTGAAACCAGCACAGACCAATTATGGCTTCTTCTTTGGCAACGGGGCAGAAAGACAGAGACTTTCTACAATCTCGGAATCACCAATACCCACAGATTCCGACACATCAGAGCCCAGTGCAGCCCTCTCTGCACCCAGCCACTCAGACAGGGACACAATAACTACTTCATCTATCAACAAAGAGGAGCTGGCGGGCCCTGCAGTGCCAGAGCACTGAAACTACCCAAACTGGGAGCCAAACTAGCTTTCACATCCATCATTTTGATCACAGTATCTACCACGTATCTTGGTTGGGAATGGGCCCCTGATGTGAAAAACAAATGCCCTGCTGTGTGTAAAAAGAAAGGCAAAGAAACTGGACCCGTTTCAAAACGTTACCACACGTTTGGGTTTCCATGCATTTGAGAATGGTTTTGTGTAAGAGTATCAAAGATTTCCAGAATAAGATAAACTTAGCTGGAATATTAATGGATTTGGCAACACTAGGCATGCCCCTGGGGCACCCAGCAGAGGTAGTCCCTGCATGCCCTCAAAAGCCAGCACATTGGGACACCCTCACACATGCCCTGTGGAGTTCATCACTGCATGTGCCAAAAGCCCACTGAGTCCTGAACAGACCAAACCTCCTATGTACACATGGTACTACCAGAGGCACAGTCAGAGTCAAGTCCTGGCTGTGTGGGGACAACTTAATTTAATGTGTGCAGAAAGTCAGCTCACAAGTCAGCAACTAACAAGTTCCATGGGGCATTTATGCACAAGCAGCTGGTGCACAATCATTTTAATGAAAACAACTGCATGCCATTAAATATACAATACACATAGCTTTCCTTGTTTGAATCAAGTTTTTCAACCTATTTCTAGGTCAAAATTACCTCTTCTCTGAATTTTTTTTTTCAATTAGCATGCTATTACTGTATGTTTGGATAACACTGCCTTTTGATTACAAAATGTTTTAGTCTTCCTTACCTTTTCTCTTTTACTCCCCTATTACATTGCTGGAGGCTAAGGTTTGTTAAAGTTTTCATATGTGAGATTTACATAATTCAAGCATCTTCTTTTGCTTGAAGATTGTGGATTTTCAAATGGATGTGTTTGCCAGGGTCTTCATAAAAATAAATCAAAATCAGCAGTGATTCCTCCCCCTTTATTCTTTAATTTCCTGCTTCCTGTTACTTATAATTGTCTTGTCCTTGCACTTTTCTTCCACTTTCCCTTATTTTGTCAAAGCAGGCTGTGTAGCAGGAAAATCTGGTCACATGCGTGCCCAAGAGATTTACTGACCTTTGTGCCTTTAAGCCTCCTGAGCAGTTCAAGTCAGAACAGCAAAGACTAAATCTGCTGCAGATTCTTCTTTCTGGAAATAAGTAAGAGGCTCTTCAAGAGGCTCACCAGAGGTATCAATTGCCTTATTTCTGATCTAATCTTGCTCTAAGTTCTGAACGTTTATAAATTGCTTGTAAAGATGGAATCCCTTTTTGGAGTAAAAGTCAAAAGTGACTATCTGTTTTTAGTTGTGTTTAAGATTGGGTGCACAGTGGATTCTCGATTAGAGGCCAAAGTCTGCTCCAGCGGAAGGCTTTGATTTGGAAGCAGCAGGGCTGTCCCTGCCCAGCAGTGAAAGCGCTCAGCTCAGCTGCTTTAATCTCACTGCGGTCCCGAGCAAACAAGGAAATGAATTCCTGGCCACCTGCAAGGAGAGAAACCCCAGCTTTCTCGGGAAGTGCCACTTCTCTATACACCTCAGAGTGCAAAAGAGTGCCAAACGAGTGCAACCGGCCTTTCACTTTCTCTGGATTCCTGTTATTTAGGTCTACAAATAAAACTGGGTATATTCGGTCTTCCCACAAGTAGAAATAGCTTCAAGAGGCCGCGACAAACAGCAGCCAGGGAAATGCAAACGTTTCTTGTCAAATGTATGGGCCGGGGTCATCTTTAGTCTGTTCCCCCCGTGCGGTGCAGCCCATCCCATTGACCACTTCACCGCCGGGCGGGAGCGGCGAGGCTGGGCTGCCTGAGGCTGGGCTGCCTGAGCTTCCCGACGGAACCCGGGCCGAGAGGGCCCAGGACACCAGCGGGGCAAACCCGGGGAGTAACAGGAGCGGGTCGGTGCCCCGAGGAGTTACGGCGAGCGGGTCGGTGCCGGGGAGCCCGGCCGGGGGCAGAGCCGTGAGGCAGCTCAGCCCCGCTAAACCCCACTGATAGACTTTCATGGACTTTCACATTTGAACCCGTCAGGGGCACCCGCGCCGCCCCAGCCCGCGGCCCGCTGGCGGCGGAAGCGGAAGGGCCGGGCAGCAGCGGGAGCGGCAGCCTCGGGAGCGGCGGGAGCGGCGCTCGGTACCGGCGGTGAGTGCGGGAACGGCGGGGCCGCCTTATCGCCCCTCCAGCGCCCCCCGCGCCGGGCGGGCCCGCCCTGCCCCGCCCCGATAAGGGGCAGGTGGGCGCACTCGGCCTCTCCAGGGGAGCCAAAATGCAGAGGGGTTACCCCCGATCTGTGCGGCAGGAGCTGCTCAGTTACAGCGGCTTAAGTATCGCCAATTGTACCTGTTTGCATATCTATACGTATTAATAGCATGCATAGCTGTGGTTGTTTTACTGCTGAAAGACTCGTTGCTTTAAGTTAAAAACGAGCTGTAGCTGTGGGTTGATGGACCGGGGTGGTTTGCATTATTGTGGTTATTGATGCATCCTCCCAGCCTTACAATATTCTTGAATTACTCTGAGCTTTAATCCTTTTATGTGAATGTGGCAGTAGGTTGGTGATGTTAAGGCATCGCCATATCTTACTTCTCCAGATTTAGTTTCCTTTTATGTTTGTTTTTATCTCTGCCCTTCTAAGAAGAGACTTTCAGCTTTTTAATGAACTGAATAATTATGGCTAGCATCATAAATGTGATTCTCCTAAATCCTCTATTTTAGGGAAGAATCTGAGTGGAAAGTATTAATTAACATATTTTTCCAGTGTCTGCCATTCTGATGCATTCCGTTCTTCCAGAGGCTATAGTTCAAATCTCTGCACTGTTAATGTGCAATGCTACATGAAGCAAGAGGGTTCTTAAAAATGTGCTGATGCTAGTTATTGATTAAATGTGTACCTTGTCTTCTGGGCTGAACTCTTACCTTTAAGATAATTGCATAACATGGTTGTGTAAAGCATACAGTTTGTATCTTATTTGTATTATAGGCCAAAGTGAATCAAAAAGCCTTACATTTTTAGTTATGTTGCTTGATGCAAGAAGATGTCTTTATTTAGGTAACTAAATTCAGGTAAGCAGCACCCACTCGCATGTAGTTGGCTACAAAATGGCAGTGCAAACTCAGAGTAGAAGAGAATAGTTTGGCACCATCACCCTGTCTTCTCTGACCTCCTACCCCAATAAAACAGATGTACCCCTGCAGTTTGGTTCACCAGTGATTGTCTGCAGCACCAATAGCTGGACTTAGCTCAGTGCAAATCTAGGGCTATTAGTTCAGTGTAATGATTGTCTTACACCAGGAGATACTGGCCCATGCCTGATAAGAAAGGCACTCAGACTCTAAGGTATATCAATTGATGTTTTTTAGAGCTAACCCTTTAAAGAAAGAGGAAAGGGTTGGTAGTTGTGCATCTCTTCAGGTGCTGGGAGCCCCAGCTTGTGCAGCATTGAGCAGATCTCACCCAGCACAGTGTGCAGACCCTGTCCATAGCACGGGTTTTGGTCATTTGAACTGCTGGGGATTCTTTTACAAGAAAACACCTCTATTCATCACTTCTGCTATCAGACAGAAAGGATGCTTGCAGGAGAACTTCCTGCTCCTTTAGATAAAGGCAAGGATGCATAGGTAGCATAATTGCAGGTACAAAGTGTGAGCTACCTGCAGACTCCTGTTACAGGTTGCTGCTGAGGTTATCCTTGAGCTTGTGCATCCCACAGCACAAGGCTTGGCATGAAGTGCAGCATAAGACAAGCCTGGACCTACTCAGGATCACTGTTACAGGCATCCCCAGCTCCTTGGTGTAAAAATGGCCTTCAGGTCAAGATCACTCCAACAGCTCTTCTGTGTCTCTCTGAGAAATAAGTGTGCTATTTGGTGTCTGCTGTTAAATCTACAAAAGTTTGGCTTGAGAAGCTAAGCAAGAAATTGAAAGCATAAACTGTGTGAACACATCCATCAGCTGGGACATAATTATGTGAGGAAAATGACAACACTGAGAAGGCAGATCTATTTTGGGATAGTATGCTATATGGATGCTGAACTCTGAAATCATCCATTCCTCCTACATAGTCAGATGTAACTAACATTGCATTCTTCCACTCTTGGTTATTTTTGTTGCTTTTTGTTTTTAAACAACATTCATGATTTTGGATGCAGCAGAGCTTGGGAAGTAATTAAAAACAGCTAGCCAGCTTTGGAGCTTATCCTGAATGCAGTTTCTTTTTAACTGTTTGAGCAGAAGCATAGATTGTGAGGATGTTGGGACATGCTGTAAGCCCTTCCTTTGTTGATGGAAAAGCTTTGCCATTGTGAGAAGACAAGGTAAATTGCTGCAACTTAAAGAATTGCTGCAAAACTGTTTGTTCTTTTTATTCTTTAGGCAAAAATGCCTGCAACATGCGACTTTATTACACTCCACACTGGGCAGAAGATGCCTCTCGTGGGACTGGGAACCTGGAAAAGTGACCGTGGCCAAGTAAGCAGGGAACAAATGGATATTGTGCTCTCAACTAGTATGTGTGTTTGTGCACTTTTTTGAAAGTTCCAGATCTGAGGTCTGGATCCTTTGCTTGAGGCTGTTCCAGTCTTGAGTCCACTGAAGTTGAATGTATGTATGTGTGTATTTGCCTGACTAAGGCCTAAGGCACAATGACAGCAGATCCTTCCAGAAAGGAAGATCCCTCCAGACTTGTTAGCCCTGGCCTTGGGCAGTGGTGCTCTGGGACATAAACCCAGAAGAAGTCAGTGAATGGTGTTTCTGTAATATGGTGTTTGACTATTCCACTGGCAAGTCCTCAGGCTGCTGGTCTGACCAGACACCACTCTGGCTTAGGCTGATGATTCAGCAGAAAGCATTATTTTGGGAGGCAGAAACTCAAGTTGTTCTTGTAATAAGTCCTGTTCTAGCAGCCAGCCAATGGTTATCAGGAAAACAAAGAACTTGCTTGGGTCAGCCTGCTTTCAGAATAAAAAGACTCATGTATCATTAGACATTCACTCTGCTTCTGAATGCAGTGAATTGGCAAACACCACACTTGGAAACAATTCTGTGTGTTACTACAAACAGTCTGTGGGAATGTTTGTGTGCTCCATGGTGTGCATGCTATTGTAATGCTTCTCCCCTTTGTCTGTCTTTTCGTATCTCTTTCATTTAGTTAAAATATACGTTTTCTGGGGAAGAAATTGTATGTACTTCCTGTGAAAGGTAATGTCCACTGCTTGGTGGAATTCCTAGCTGGTGTTCAAAGAATTGTGCAATCACAGAATGATTTGGGTTGGAAGAGACCTTAAAGACCATCTAGTTCCAATTCCCTGCTGTGGGAAGGGAGACCCTCCACCCTGGCCTTGAACATTTCCCAAGATGGGGCATCCACAGCCTCTCTGGATTATGCACTCCACTGCATGTCTGTGCAGTAAATGGATGTCTCGCTGCTACTCTTGTGTGAGCTTTATGATGTTTTTTGGAGTATGTTGGATGACATTGTGCTCACGACTGGGAGGGAAAGTTAAAATTCTTCTCAAGACATTCAATTCTCTTGTGCCAGCTAGAGGAAAAGGTGGGAAAGAGGCTATGAAAATTAAATCTATTCACAGCCATTTTACTGTGGGTTTTCCTGTCCAAACACTGTCAGGACAGCGGATCTGTTGGGAATAGTTGTACTAATGTGGAAGCTGAGTTAGTGTGAGAGCTCAGTCAGCCTCTTAAATGAGGAAAAGGGTGAATGTGCAGCTTTGCCACTTAAAACATCAAATGACAGCTGAATTAAGTTTGTTAACATGCACAAACTTAATGGATTAATTTCTGTGCACTCAAAACAGTGAAATATGCTTTGTCTAAAGCAATTGTCTGAAACTAAACAAACAAAATATGAATGTGTTGTTTATTCTGTGAACTAATTGTTCTGAGAAATGTGACCTTAGAAAGGAACCAGGACAGATCCTGTTTGTGCATAATTTAAACCTTATTCAGTTGGATTTTGCCATAATCAGCAGTGCTGCTGGCAGCTGAACCCCACACAGGATCCAGCCATCTTCTATGGGTTTCCTTGGAAGTCATTGGGAGTCACTTCCTTGGAATATCTACTGTCTTTAAAGACTTCCTTGTACAATGTATTGAAGGCGTAATCTAGGAAGTGCAGTGAAAAGGGTCAGAGATACAGAAGTTGCTGCTATTCCTATGGAATAAATGCATTTCTGATTACCACTTTTGAAAATTCAGAGGTATAGCAACAATTTGGCAGTGTCCAGATGATTTACCCTTAAAAAGACATGATGTAGTTCAGGGATAATAAGTATTATTATGAATTAAAGACTAGGGGCCAGAAACCCAGAGAAGCAGAAGAATTAGCACTGCTTAAATTTGGTTTAGCTGTTTCCCAGGTAGAGGCTATCTATCAACAGCCGTTTTGTTCAAGGGCTACATTAGAAGCAAGTGTGGAAATGGATGGCTTTTAAATTATTTTGGGTAAATATTTTGCAGATTGTAATTCTTTCCCTTGCCAAGCTTGAGTAATTTCTTTATTACTGCTGTTACTGTTCCTGACTGTAAACAAGCCTTGACCTTGTAGACAGATCTTAGCAGTCCACTACAAAGGTGTCATTGCAGCCCCAGTTTCCTAGATATTAATAGGGGGAAAATAATTATAGGATTGACACTATATAAAATAATAGGATGTTTTGTATTTTACATGATCAAATGCTGGAAATTTGTTTTGCATGTTTCCATAGGAATATGGTGGAGGGCTGTTGAATGGAAGGGAGCACAGTACTGAAGTTTATGAGCTGGCAGCATGAATGAGTTGAAAGAGAAATCCATTCAGACAGGAGTATCAGGAATATCAATATCATGGCTTTTTGATATTGCAGCTGGATTAGCTGTAATCCTTTAATGCTTTGTTCTCTTTTCTCGAGTGAGCCATGCTTTCAACATGGAGGATTGATCCCCACCTGATGAGTAGCCTAACCTGTAGTGGCAGAGGTTGGTTCTGTGGGACAGGGAGGCACAGGGCTTGTATTTCTGTGTGAAACCTTGGAAAAGCTGAAGAGAAGTGCACCTCAGAAAACCAGTCAGACAGGGTGTCTTGTGACAGGATTGCAGCTTTGGGGGAGAATGTTTAGTTCTTGAAGTTTGTTAGACAATATAGAGAATCCTGGTTATGGGCACAAAAAAATTCACTGGTGTTAAGGAAGGGACTTAAATTCAACATTTGAAGGGTAAGAGGCAAACCCCTTTATTTTAGGCAACACCACCTTATAAATTGGCATTATTTATCTCGTGGTGCGAGTTCCTTTTCAGCCAATTTTAGTGCAATATTTAGAAACTGTGATATAGCAACACTTGGGTTCTGGTCATAGTGCCTCCGAACATCACGTGCACTGATTATTTGGTTTTTTCCTACTTCCTCTCAGCAAAAGGACTGCTAAAATGTGTCGAATTTGCAGGAAGCAGGGGTGGCTGGTCAGAGCCTTTTCTTTCCCAGTAGTATCAAACTGTTAAGAGTGGAAATCTCTTCATAATGGCTTGAGGCTGTGCACAAGAGGCTCCTGGGCCACTTGAACTGTGTGTTGCCTGGAAGTATAAAGATTGCTTGTTAGTTTTTTTAACCTTGTGAGAGGCAAATTGAAGAATTGGAAATCTAGTAAGGAATACTATAATTAATGGAGACTTACAAATTGTTTCTGAATCTGCCACTGATACTGTGTTCACCCATCTTCAAAAGAGGGTGGGTGGCAAGGCCAAGTCCCTTGGGATGTTTAAATGGGAGTGTAGTTCCTTGGACTTTGCTATAAAGTGAAGGAGAATGAGGCTCCAACTGCCATACCTGTGTCTGTTTTGGGGCAAACCATTTGAAGAAAGACATGAAACAGCTGATGAGACAGCAGCAACAGTGATGCAAGGTTTCGGAAAGGTGAGTTGTGATCAAAGGGGGAAACACCTGCAGTTATGTGGTCAAAAGAGGTATGAGAGGAGCTGTGCACTTTGCAGATGTGGGAAAAGCTCTTACAAAGGGCAAGCTGTGAATATCATGTCTGGGAGGAATGGGATGTGCTGTCAGGACCATCTTTGTGAGTCATGTAAAAGACTTTCAGCATGAAGATTTCAAAGCATTGGAAAAGACTGCCTGTCACAAGAAGGGCTGTGACAAATGTGTGTAGGAGTGGTCTGGATTTACTCTGCCCAGCTGTGGGCCTTGAGGATTGACTGGAAGATGTCTCAAGATCCATTCAGATGTACTTTTAGTAAGACCTAACTTTTTAGTTCTGCAGGGATGGATTTGTGAGTCACACTTGAGCTGTGTGACTCAACTTGCCTAATGCAAAGTAAACTCACTAATTGCTCCTTTCCTAGCAGTATTGACAGGCTAAACTAAAGAATATATGGAAAGTTTGAAGGATCCTCTGGCTATTTGTATTTCACAACAACAAATACCCACAGGCATATGAATCTTCAGCTGTCTCTGTTATGTTTTGTTCTCTATCCCCTACCATGAAATGCATGTACCTCTCTGAAGTTAATCTCAAAAATACAGAACTTCTTGTTTAAAAAAAGTACTTTTTCAAAACTTACTCATGTTATTATTTTTCCCCTCCAAAAATGCCTTTTTTTTTTTTTTTTTCATGTTTCCTCTTGATTATTTGCCTTTTGTGTGGAACAGGAGCTCTCAGTTCACACTGGAATGTCTTAATGGGCTGGGAATAGCTTACCCAAATACAGATTATTTTCGTCAGCTCCAAACATTATTTAAATTATCAGTCCCAGTTCTTCAGTGCTAGAAATTTCTCAAAACATGCTGATAAAAGAATACAGCCTCTTGTTGATTGCTTTGCAGAGACATGTTTGGAGTGCTTTATTTCTGTTTTTCTGTGAGTGGTGCCTACTTTCATTCATGATAAACTTTGTGCGTATTTGATTAAAAAGAGTATTAATCTGTTACAGGAAATAGGGGGTTCCAGACACAGAACATTGCTGTTTTTCTGTCCCTCTCCACAGATTTCACCTTTTTGGAGGATAGAAACTGAGTCTTAAAAATCCTTACTATGTCTCAAGTGATTTCAGAATTACCCTGCCCTTGATTTTGTAGTGACCTGAGAAATATCTTTGTCAGGTGAAACAAGGACTGTAAGTACTGTCCTGCTAGAGAAAGGAAGACTTCACTTCTGTAATAGAAGTGCTTTGTCATCCTGGCTAAGGGAAACTGAGCTACACTCCAGTTTTCCTCTCAAAATGCCAAAGAATGTAGTCAGAATATCCTGTGTCTGCTTTTACTGCACTTCTTGACAAGAAAAACAAATCAAATCCACCAGTAGGAGAGAGTTCTCACATTTGATTCTCCATTGCCTTTTTGTAGCATCTGAAAGCAGGACTGGCTCTTTGTTTGGTATTACTAATTTTGTCAGCTTTAAATTTGAAAATGTTGGTACTTTTATTAAGTTGTTAATCAAAGTACCAGCATTTTCAAATTTACAGCTACTTTGATTAAGTTGTTAATCAAAGTAGCCGTCTAGCCTTTGTGGACATATTTTTTAATCTCATGACAAGAGGTGTGATCTCACTTAAAATTTGTGGCCCTATTGCATCAAGCCTTATACACAGAGTAATTTACAGTGTCCCAGAGTCTTGAAAGATAAGTTAGTGAGGTGCAGTGTATAGAAATCCTGCACAGATGGGGTGTATTATTCTTTCTGTAGTACTTCAGAAGGACAGGTGTAAGAGAGAATGTGTGCTAACTGTCCGCTGGAAGTTAAATGAAACAGATTTTACTAAATGGTCATCAGCCTAATGGGAGATAATGATTCCACTGGCAATTGTAGTAATTCTTCATTCTTGCACAATCATTTATAGAAAATCTTTTTTCAAAAGCTCCTTAGGAGTATTCACAAAGGTGCCATTCTGTGTTTCCTTCTGGTTTCTAGACTTGCTCCATATCTGAGGCCCACCTGTGAAGACATTTGGTACTTATACTTCATTAGAGCTTTCAAAAGTAGATACAGATTTGAAGTAAAGTGCCTTGGTTACAAAAACCATCCTGGCTTTTATGTGACAATATGGAGCAAGAGTTGTGTTGCTGTTGGCAACACCTTCATTGTCAGCAATGTTGAAAGCAAAATGTAAAGTTGTGAGCATCATCAGGCGTATCCCAGCAGCATGACTTTTGCTGTTGTGCAATTATGAGACAAGAAAGAAAAATGTTCTGTAAAAGAGCATTGTCTTGGTGATTAAGTGTGAGTGGCTGAACCAAACACAAACTGTGGTGATTCTGGAGTTAGAAGCCAGGCTCTTTCTTTACTGGGCAAGAGGAAATATATTCCAACAATATATTCCAACGTTCCAATATATTATATTATCAACTGATGTTGATTTGTCACTTAGGACAGAAAAGCTGTCTTCCTAAGCCATGACTTATTTGAAAACTGCTTCTTATAAGTCATTCTATATTTAAGAAAAGTGTAACAACTGTAGAGAAGAGTAGGGATTTGGTCTACCTGGTGCATTTTTGCGTGCTGGCTCTGTGTGCATGACCCATTTTCTTGTTCTTCTTGGAATGCCTGCCAGCAGTTTGCTCTTCCCCCCTAAGGACTGTGCCACTGAGATCCTTGTGTTTGAATCGCATGACCTTATACAGGTCTGTGGTTTTTTGGGGGGTGTTCCTCACTAAGTCTCGTAGTGTTTTTTAACTTTTCCCCAGTGCCACATCCCTTTTCTGTGGCTGCATGGGCAGTGTGTTTGTGGTTGCAGGTGAAGGAGGCAGTGAAACATGCCCTCAGCGTGGGCTATCGCCACATTGACTGCGCAGCCGCCTACAGCAATGAAGCCGAGATCGGGGACGCCTTCCAGGAGTGTGTTGGGCCCAACAAGGTAAAAGCACAGGAACTGCCCTGCTGACTCTGTGTTGTGCCAAAAGGTACAATTGTGGGAAGGTAACAATTGTGGCTTTTCCTGCTGCTCTACCCCAGCTGTTTGCTATTTATCAGGAGAAGGCATGAAAGAGAGCTTTCTCTCTTCGGAGAGCCCTCCTGGCTATAATGGAGAAGTAAGATTGTCAGGGATATTTGGATGGAACATACAGAAAATGCCTGTGGTGTTTTTTTTTTTTTTTCCTTTTCCCCTTTCAAAGTATCCCAGTTTGGCTACTTTGGGGTTCCCAGAATCAGTAGTTAAAATGTAAAATATTTGTCATGATTTGTATGAAAAGTTAACCCTGACTTTTCAGTCTAGCATGCAATGGCGGATAGCCACAGCAAATTTAGGTTTTTTGTTAATGATAAAATATCAACTGTAGGTTTTTTAGTTATAGATAAAATATGAGTGAGTTAATGTGGTGAATTTTATTTTTTTTTTAAACAGTGATTGCATGTGAAAGTTTCATAAACATGACTTCAGAGTCTGCACCTAAATATAATGCAATGTGAGAGGCATTCCTATGTATGAGCTGAGGTGGAATCTTAAATTTATTCCCTAAAGGGGCCAAAAGGATAACCTGTACAACCTCACAGCCCATGGAAAGGAAGTTTTCATGTTCTTGCTCTCCTGCTGCTCTTGCCTTGGCTTTAGGGCAGTCTCTTTGTTATGTGCTTCAGAGAGGCTGTTTTCAGCTTGCCCCAGGAATTTCTCCCTATCAGATGTGGTAACAATGGCAAGCATTTTGTTCAGTTCATATTAGCTAGCTAACTTAGAACTAGAATTTGAATCAAAATTCTTTGAAAAGGAATTTTTAAATATCTTCCTTTTAAACACAACATCCTTTTGTGAAACACAGAAATAATTGAATGGTTGGAAGAGAGAAACTAAAGAATTAATCATTCAAAATTCTTCAAAATAGACTTGAGTGAAGTTTTGTCAGATATGAGACAGTGAGAAATGTTCTTTCTGATGGAATTCTGTGCTTTGTTTTGCCCAATGTGATCTCCCTTTTCTATTTTATACTTTCTAGATAACCAGTTCCCCATTGTTTTATTTCTGGTTCTTACCCTTCCAATACAGGGTACAAGGCCTCAGTTCTTAGTGTGTTCCTTCCACAGCCTAGAAACTCCAATGCAGAGGTTTGGGGAATCTTCTGATTATTTTCCCACACTCTTTCCACAAGAAGCAATCTTGGTTTATAGCATGTGATAGTAAAGAAAATTAGCTGGTTGAGGCTGGAATATGTGAATTGCTAAATGGAAATTTGAAAATTTACATATGAATAAGCTGAGTAATCTTTCTTTTGGCCACTGTCACACTTAGTAATGCCTTTAACCCTTGAATTGGAAGGTTTGGAAGAGTGAGTATGCGGAAAGAAATTTTTTTGTTTTTCAAAACTTGTAATTGATGAAGTATTTGATATACTTTAAGACTTGCCACTGTGTGTATTTCTCTGGCCCTTCTCCATCCAGTATATTTTTGAAAGGTTTATTTTGTAGGTTCCGTGTGTTACCTTTTTTTTAAAAAAAAAAACATAACAAACCACAAAACTTCAGTTGTTCTCTTTGTTTAAAACTAATTGGGGAATTGTTGCAATCCTCTTTCTGAAATTGCTCCAGTATATTATGCTCTCTTTCCTTGAAGGTTATTAAAAGGGAGGACCTGTTTGTAACATCAAAGCTCTGGAATACCAAACACCACCCAGAAGATGTAGAGCCAGCGCTGAGGAAAACACTTGGAGATATGAAACTGGATTACCTGGACCTGTACCTCATGCACTGGCCTCATGCCTTTGAGTAAGTTCTAGATGCAGAATGCAGAAACACCAGTTTTACATAAGTGGCTCATGTTATATCCTGAGGATGTTCTTTCTGAGCTGTGAATTTCTTCCTGCTTATGCTGCCTGCAAGGTGTTTTTTTGTGTTTAAAGTTTAAAACAGTCTACTGTCTTCATCTAGGCAGTGGAGAAGTGTAGCAGCTGTTCTTGGTTCTGCCATTGGTCTACCTGGTAACCTTGAGGAAATACCAGAACCGCTTTGTGCCTTAGTTGTACTGGTCTGGAAAATGGGAATTAAGTGTTTCATAAAGACAACACTTTTCACTTGTAGTTATTAACTATACTGGAGTGGACAAGCACATGCAGTATCATGATGGTACCTGTATGACGTGGAAGTTTTCCAGTTAAGTGTTAGATGCCTTTATCCTACAATCTCATGAGAAGCACAGTTCCATACTCTATTTCCGTGTAGATGTGGACGTAGTTGTTTCTCCACCCAACTACAATCAGCAAAAAGGCAGGAGGAATAAATCTCCTTGACAAAGGTTTGCTGGTAGAGTTGGTCCTGCCTTAGGGCAGGTAGAGTAGATCAGAGGGGTCCATTCAGGGCCTGGATCCATGTCTGAGATAGTTCACATGGACTGTTGCCATGTCTGGGACCTGTCTTTCAGTTTAAAGGGCCTCTGTTCTGCAAATCTGAGAATGTTTTTCCCCTTCTAGTCACATGAACTGAATTTTAGACATGTCATATACTAATGATAAGATTAAAGATGCTCAAAGTATAAATATATTCCTCAGCATAACAGAATGAGGAAGTGTTTTTACTAGAACTGGTCTGGAGGAAGAGCTGGGAAAAATTTCCCCTGTTGTGCAACAGGTTTGCTTTTCATTTGCTTGAAAAAAAACCACCCCATCAAACATTGCTTTGATAATGACACATAAAACAAATAATAATGTATGTTTAGATAGTACTAATGTTTAAATTTAGATTATATTGTGACACTGTTGACAAAACTGACAGTCTAATAAAGCAGTTTAATTTCTTTTCGCATTGGAAACAGTATACTCTGCAGTTTTCCATTATTTGTATGTAACTGTTTTAATGCATGCTTATTTATAATGTCTGCTGCATTGGGAGGCTAAGCTAAGGAATGTTATTTATAGAAAATTAACTGATGAAAATCACAGTGCCTTTAGGTCTTGAAAATTACTCTCACTTAATACAGTACTCTTGACATATGAAGCTGTTCTGACTTGGGAGCTCGTAAGGCTTTCAGAGTTATTTTTGGTTCTAGATTTAACAGTGGCATGAAGAACCACCTCCCCTTGTCCCTAAGTACTGCCATTTTTCACACCATTCACTGCTTAGTTAGAGCTGTCTAAGAGTCTCATGGCTGAACTAGCAGAGTCCTGTGGTGATGATGGAGCAGGGCTCTCCCAGGGGGATTGCTGGTACCCTTCCCAGTATGGACTGCTCATAGGTGAGACCAGTCATAGGTCTCACCCCTTTGGCTGTGGGGTGTCACTTGGCACAGCTGGGTACTTTTGTATCTGTTTAGGTGGGCTTTTTAGTTGTTTTGTTTTTGTTGTTGTTTTTTTATGTTTTGGTATGACTAATTGGAAGGAAACACACCTAACCTGTTAACAGCATGTAAATATTAGGACTTGTGGGAGAATCTGTGCTTGTATTGAGTAGTGACACAGCTACAGAATCCAGAGGGAGTGGGAAGGCCAGTGTCCTTTCAATACGGTTTCTCCTAGATAGCTCTTAAACCCAGATCCCTTTGGTAGCAACTCCAAGCTGCCCTCCTGAGTTACTGCTCCCTAAATCAGCTGTTTTATGGGGATCAAAGTGTGCAAAGAGCTGCTGGTGTGTACAGTGGTTTATCAGTTCTGTGTAGTCACTGCTGTATAGGTGAGTATTTCAAAGTGCTGTGTAACAACTTTAAGTAGGAAAGACTGTCTTGTGTAATAACTGCTTATCAGTTAAGTCATGAAATAGAATTGAACAGACAGATTCATTCAGTTTGTACTCTGTCCTTCAGACTATGTAGAAACTTTCAAGACTACTGTGAAGAAGGTTTCTTTCAGTGAAGAACTAAAATAATTTGGTGCATGTACTTACACTTCACCTTTGATACTGTAGACGAGGGGACAATCTCTTCCCAAAGAATCCCGATAACACGATGCGTTATGACTACATTGATTATAAGGATACCTGGAAGGCAATGGAGAAACTGGTGGAAAAAGGTCTTGTGAAGGCCATTGGGCTGTCAAACTTCAACAGTCGTCAGATCGATGATGTATTAAGTGTGGCTACTGTGAAGCCAGCTGTGCTCCAGGTAAGGTGGACAAAGGAGACAAATACCTTTCCTGTTTGTCCATAAGAGTGGAGAATTTGCAAACCAATGTCATGTGTGTAGCACAAGAGGTGCAGCTTCTTATTTGCAGGGAAGAATATAGCCAGCTCTGCAGGAGCAGGCATACAGAGGCTGTTTTTCCAGGCATATTGAAAAGGAGGCCTACATCCATGTTCCATGGATATTTATACTTGCTTAGATGAACAGGTCCTTGGAAGAGCTCATCCTCCATGTGAGGAACAATTTAGTCTGTAAAAAGGAAAGATTGTGAGGGAGTAACTTGGATCCCTGCTGCATAGAAGTTCCTTGCTTCTTGGATGATCAGTTTGAAGGGAAAGTCCAGCACCAAGCTCAGGTGATCTGTTCTTTGTTTCCTATAAGCTTAGCCTACCAGACACTTCTTTCTCCTGGTAGTGACTTGAGTTACTAAGGTTAACTTAAACGTTATCCTCATAAGGTTTTCTGGAATCTGGAATGAACTTTTGTCCTTGACTTCTTGTTTGTTTCACTGTATGCTGCTATCTGTTCTGTAGCCATTCACTGTGGGTCATTTTAATAGGTGGAATGCCATCCTTACCTAGCTCAGAACGAGCTGATTGCTCACTGCCAGAAGCGAGGCCTGGTGGTCACTGCCTACAGTCCCCTTGGCTCTCCAGATCGCATGTGGAAACACCCAGATGAGCCTGTGCTGCTAGAGGAACCTGGGGTCAAAAAAATTGCAGAAAAATACAGCAAGTCACCTGCACAGATCGTCCTCAGGTACAGAATAATTGTGAGAGGCGTGGTGTTTGGGACCCAGTCTTCAGTCAAGCAAAACATACAGCCTAGAAGGAATCCACTTAAAGTGTGTCAGGGAGGGCTTAAAATCACAGGGAGTCCCAAAAGCAAACCCCACTTGGTGCTTGTTTTACAAAGCTAGTAGAGTTGGTCCTGCCTTAGGGCAGGTAGGCTACATCAGAAGAGTCCATTCAGGGCCTGGATCCATGTCTGAGATAGTTCACATGTCTGGGACAGCACCTTTTCTGCTGGGAAACAGGAGTAGGACAATTAAGGCAGCAGTGTACCACACGTGAGTGCTGCCCACTGAATTTGCATCTGGTTGGTTCCTTGAAGCCTCTAGTGCTTGTTGCTGCACTCAGGTGGGCTCCCAGGAAGGAGGGCTGAGGAAAAGACTTGCCTCCTTTGTACTGAAGAACTATTTGCTGTTTTGTTTTTATATAGCCAGGTACTGGATATTAAGGAACAAGGTGACTGAGTGATACCCAGAATGTGATCAGCACCTTGTAAACTAAGATTGGATATTTTCCTAATTTTTCTTGACTGGCTTTGTATCCATCAGTGTCACTACACAGTCTTGGGCAGTAGCAGGTTACCCAGAGAGCTGAATGTGTTCAAGATCTTTTGCTCAAGCCTCTAGACAGGAATTTCAGGGATCTGGGTTTTCATTTAGTTTCTGAGTGGTTGTCAGGTTAGAACTTGCTTGAAATGCCTAAGTATGTTTTTTTTACTGTTTCTGGGGGTTTTAGCTTAAAACAGCTTTTGGGTGCTTGTTCCAAGGCATGAACATCCTCCCCTCTCTAATTAATTCAGTTGTTACTGTCTTGCTTGAGCTTGGACATACCAGGTCCTAATACAATACTGTATTAGGAGGACTGTGTCACTCCTGTGGAGATTTTTATTTCACAGAAGTGGCATCTCTGCTGCCAGAGATTATTACTCAACCAAAATAAATACTTATTGTCCTTGGACTACACACACAGACAAGTCTCCCACCTCCTCTTGCAGATGGCAAGTGCAGCGTAAAGTGGTTGTCATTCCTAAGAGTGTCACTCCTGCTCGCATTCAGCAGAATCTGCAGGTAAGCTGAAATGGAGGAGTTTCAAAAATGCCCTTTTCATGTGAGTAATTGCTATACAGTCCTACACGTTGCAGAGCAGCAAGCTCAGGCACTTGGTTCATACTTGTTCATCAATGTATGCACACGCTGGGGAGGGAGGGTGAAGATGTTTTTTGAAAACAAAGGATGTGTTTCAAACAACTTGGTGTGTGTGTGCAATGTGTACATGCACAGTCTTGTTATCAGAAGGTAAAGAATGTACTTTGTAGAGGTCTAAATGAAAAATCTGTACTTAATTTTTTTTTTTTGAGACACAAATTTATTGATATAGAGTCTTCTAATTATGCTCAATGACTCATATTTATGAGTAATAGTTGCTCTATTCTGCAAGTGAGGGCTGGTGACTACTTCTCCACCAAACTGCCATTCTAGTGATGCTGAAGGAGTAAGCGTGGTTCACTTCTGCTCCGAAGTAGAGACTTCAGAAATTATTTGAAAACCCTGACTTTAAATAATCTCGAGGGATGTTTCTGAATCACCTCCTTGGATCTTTTTTCATAAAGATTGGCTGGTTACATACTTGTTTTTAAGTAAGGGATTGTTTATACAACTGTTACTCTCATTAATCCACATTCTGGCATGTAGTGTGCTGCTAGAAATCTCAACAAATTCCCATAAATTCTGCAGTTGCTTGAGGTTTAGATCTACATGGAAACAGAATATTTATCAAATAGGCAGCACTTAGTGTGAGAAGCAGTCCCACTGCTTTCTACCTTAGTGGCAGAGCACTATGCAGTACCAGTGTAAGCTTAGAGCTGGCAGGTGTGTGAACAGCTCAGACTTTAAGCCTTTGCTTTGGTGTTTGTTATGAGTTCCATTGCAATTTCATATTTATTAGCAGAAAACAAACTGATGGCAACCTATGGTTATTGAGTAAAGCCTCTGGTTTTTGTTCTCAGGTGTTTGACTTCAGCCTTACAGAAGAGGAGATGAGCCACATTGGAAGCCTGAATAAAAACTGGCGTTACATTGTGCCAATGATCACGGTAAATTTTTTATGTTTCCAATAGTTTTCAATATGTGCATATGGCGAGCACTTGGGATTTTTACAGTTTTGTTTCTTTAGTGTTCTCATCAGAACTACTTACTCAAAAGAACACTGCATCTTCTTAGGGTATCTAAGATGAAAGAATTTTTCAAAAGCTGGGTACAGAAAAGGCAGCTTGTTGAAAACTTCTGTCCTCTGTTTTGGACGTGGGTGGCTCCCTCTTGAGTTCTCATTACTGACTCCCATGGGTCTTTAGGTCAGAGTCCCATTTTCAAAGCTCACCAAGGTCCTGCTGATTTGTTCTTCTCAAGTCCAAGCAGGCTAAGCTCCATGGCATTCCTCCAGAAGTACTCCTTGTACCAGCTGTCACTTTCTGCTTTGTACCATAAACCTCTAAGATCAGTGAAGAATCAGGGTGCTTATGCTTCTCCACATCCATGGTGGAAGTCGCATCAAGGAATTTGTCCCCTCCCCTCCGCTGCACTTCCCCCTTTTCAGAATCTGTTGTAATGACCTTTCTCCAGTGTAAGGAGTTTGGATTAGGCTGATCTATTTTTCTTCCCAAATCCATTAGCTGCATCTTTTAGCATCAGTGATTTACTGTGTCACATGAACCTTTACCTCATGTGCTAGCAGATGCCAGTTTGTTTTTAGAGAAGCTGCTGCCTTGTAAGCCTTGAAGTCCTCGTGGACTTTATTTCCTTTATTACAGTAAAGGACCTAAACTTGTTCCTTTTCCTTCATTGCAAAAAAGAGAGTAATGCCTTGTTATCTCCTGTCTTTATAGTGTTTCTCACTTCTTCTTGTCCTGTTCTGACTTTACAACAGAAAGCCGTTGCCATTCCCTGGTGTATCACTGGCCAGGATATGGTAACTGTAGCAAGTTGCCGTAGTTGTGCCTATAATGAATCTGAAGTGATTTATCCCTTCTCTGCCATACAGTACACTGTACAGATACAGGAAATCTCAGCAAATTTGGGAGCTGTCAAACACAGCCTGGCCTCTTCAGTGCTTTGCATGTAAATTATCCTTCAGTAGTGGCTTCTGGCTGTAGTAATTCCTTTGGGAAATTTTCTCCAGGATTTATGATTGTGAGTTTTTTGAATACTTGAGAGTATATCAGTGACCAGTCCAAGTTAGAAAAGAAAGCTGTGAATGTGTGGGAAATGATTGTCTCATATCAAGGGTAGATATGTGTTACAGCTTTCACTGTTTGTCATGCTTACATGAGCCTCAAGGCCATCCTTTTAACTGTATGTGTGCATAAATATAAACCCTCACATCCCTGCAGCCAAAATTCTCTGTGGTTATGGATCAGGAGTCTGTATACCAAACAAGCAGCTTAGCTGCTGATCTGTGTGAATGGGGTAGTGACAAGCACACCTGCTGCTGACAATATGTTTCTTTCAAGTGTTTTGCTACTCATGCTGCAAACAAAGTTGTTTTGTTAATGAAGCTGCAAAATACATTTAAATGTAGCCTGGCTTGAATGAGCCAGGGATAATTCATGTGCTTTTGTTAACTGGGAGACCTGATCAGATCACAGGGACTCGCAAAGGAGAGATGAAATACAGTTCAAAGTGGCAGCCCAGCCAGCTTGAGAAAGGGTGAATGTGATGCAGCTGAGCTTCAAAGATATTGCCATATTGTCAGATAATGAGACAGGAAGAAGCAAGATAAGTAGAGTTAAATCACAGCTCTGTAGCTCTAAGATCTCTAATGGAACCTTTTGTCTCCTGCCCATCCCTTCTGGGCTTATTGGAAAGAATTTTTATCAACTATGAATTAAAATTCCTGTCTAACCTTTCACACCTGTCTCCGCTATGAATCTGATTTAGTGTCTGGATTTCAAAGTGTGGTATGAGTGACAAGAGAGCTGCTATCATAACTGATGAGACCGTTCTTCTAGGCTTTACTTCATTGATCTATAGCCCCAAGTTCTTAAAATTGTGCCACTCTCTTCCTTGTCGTGTATGTTTAAAGCCTATGGGGAAGCTACTACATTGCATATAGACAATTAAAATTGCATTATACTTTTAACTGTTCATTATCTGGATAGAGTTTGGAAGTTCCCTTGCACCAATCTGAAATCCAAACATTTCGAAACATATAATTGGCCAAGGAATATACTTAAATCAAACTTAAATGACTGTCAGACCAGGAAAGGAGGAATGTAGTGAGCACATCATGATCTCTTTGTAAAAGTTAGCTACTCTTGACCTGCAGGTGTGTTCATTGCTGATTTTATCCCCCCTCTTCTCTCACATTCCTAGAGTAGACTGGAATCAGTGATGTGAAACATTGCTTCTGGCAGCTGCTGTCTTGGCCTGCTGTGAACAAGAATGCTTGCTTGTTCTGTGTGGACAAATATGCAGGGGGACAGAACTGGGGGAGAGAGTGAAGAATATGAATTCTAGGAACATGAGGAAACTGTTGGCTTTCAAGAGAACTTGAGGAAACCTGAAGCTACTGTGACACTTCTGTTTTAAGGATTGCCTTCAGCTGACAGCTTCCTTGCAGGTCTATTTTAATCGGAGCATTAGTCAAATGTTACACAGTAACATCTTCGTTCTGTGCTCTGCAGTGCCCCCAGGTGACTCCTTTCCTTTACACAGCTCATTGCAGGAATTCCAGGCGCTTTGAAATGCAGGTTTTATATTCAAAGCTAATGGGACACTTGCTACTTGGTTTGGAAGTCTCCGTGAGTTCCTCTATGCCCATAACATTTTGAGTGATCACTACCACCACGCTTATATGTATAAAAATCAAAGATTTCTCTAATATAACTTTTATTGAGGCATTAGTCGTTTAACTTAAGTTTTGGGTGGATGGTGCTTGCCTGACACGTGGGGAGGTGTGTGCTGTGGGCCAGTGCTGCACCCAGACTTCCCCAAAAGTTACAGATGAGGTTTTACCCCAGTTACACGGAAGTTGGGGGTGTTGCAATGGACTTGGTGCAATAGAAATGCAAGTCATCCATCTGAATGCTTTGAGGTGGGATGTAGGAACTGAGACTTTTGCATGGCCATGTCTGGTTTTGGGCCAGCCCGAGCCTCTGGTTATCTGTGAGTATTGGTTTCAGTGCTCCCATTTTACAGCTGGACAAGTTGGTCTTCTGTGGAAGTGTTCCTAAAAGGAGTTCAGTGACACTATTAATGCCTCAATATATGACCCTGAACAATGTGTTTCATCTTATCCATCTCTAAAATTGGCAGCCAAGCAATTCTCTATAATGGAAGCATGGACAAAGGCTCCAATTCCAATAAAGTGTTTTGAAGCGTGCATGTTCCAGCACTTACTCAGTAACAGCTACAAGGCACGAGGCTTTTAACTATCCTTAGTCTAATTCTTCAAGTCTCTGCAGCTTGAAAGACTCTTGCTCTAGGCTACAGAAGTCTGTCTTTTCTTTAAAGAAAGGCTTAGAGGACCTGGGAGTAGAGGGAGGAGCTCTTGTTTAAGCTGAAAAATGTACTCCCAGATTTTTGTGATACAAAGTTTTAGAGATCTAAATCATGGAGAACTTGAAACTGTGAGTAAGAATGGATTTTATTTTTCTGACTTGAGTCTGTCTTGTTTTTCACAGGTGGATGGAAAGCTAGTAGCCAGAGACGCTGGACACCCTCACTACCCGTTTAATGACCCCTATTAACTACTGGATAATCAGGTGTTAAAGTAATGCTCCTGTAATTGCCCTTCCACAAAGTAATTGTTGCACCGTCCAAATGAAAACCTTCCTTCCCAAGCAGGTTTTCCTACAGTGTACACCTGCCTGGAGATCCTGTAGCTTCTGTTCTAAAGTTTATGGATTTATTACAATAACTGCAAGCTGGCTCCTGGAGGCATCATCAGATACTTTGGAGATTAGATAAAAAGTAATGGATTCTAAGTTCCAAACACATCGTTATCAGACAAGGGCATTACTTGGAGTAATTACTTTGGTTACTACTGTGAAATGGTTTTGAAAATTTCGGTTACTACCATGATGAGGGGAAAAAAAAAGAAGGGTGAAGGCGTGAAAGTTTTTTTAAGGCTAAAGAATTGCTCAGCCATCAACTTTGATATCTTTAATAATAATTTTTTACACAGGGAATGAAGTAAAATGTGCTACAGCTGCACTATGTCTATAAACCATTCATTAAAACCCAAGTAATCAGCCATACCCAGTGCTTTTATCCACTTCATAGCACTTTTGTGACCTAGACTTGTCAATTTTCTCTTTCTTTTAATTTGCCTGTAGATTTGAGGAGAATAAAAGCAGACCCTGGAGCAGGCCTTCAGGGTAATCCTCTCTCTTGCTTGTCACAGTGCTGGGTTTCAGCTCTGATCCCGTCACAAAAGCCACAAGAAATTTTCAGCAAGTCTTGCAGAAAAAAATCCTGCTTTTCCTGTGAAGCTGTCCAGTGTTTCTTAGCCAAAAATGTCCATTTTGAGTTCTGGAAGATCACAAAATTAGTTCCTAATTGTACAGTAAGACCAAAGACCTGTCAGAGCTCCCAGTGTTTTAATGTTGCATTTTTGGCTGCTGCCAAAAAATGTCTTTGGTTGATACTTAGGAGAGCTGCTCCTGTGTCCTGCTGTGCCACTGACCTGCCTTTTGTGCCTGTTTTCTTACTTGCCATGTCTCTGTGTTCCCCTGGCAGGGACTAATTTGCTGAGTGCTGATGCACCCGTGGACTGGAACTCCAGCTCTAGGCACAGTTTTCTTTTGTTTCAGTCTCCTAATGAACTGGTTGGTCATCTGAGCACAAAGGGCATAAGGTGTTAGTACCTACCTGTGCTCTGGTGGTGACACTTTCTTTTGGTCCTCTCTACCTGTTAAATAGGATTAATTTTTTCCCCATTGTAGTAGCAAGCAATTAGAAAAATAGTCTTGTATATCAAATAGTTCAAAAGTTAAAGAATTAGACACTTTAATTTGGATAACCTAATTTGCCATAGGCTTATAGCAGATCTGTGTATTCATTTTGAGCCTTCTTAGGTAATTCCTGCCCTGGGCCTCACAGTGTGCAGCTGAGCTGGGAAAAAAAGTGACACCCATTTATCACTCCTTGTAAACCGCAGGCAAAATTTCAGGAACTTCCTTTGTAAAATGTTTCCTAACTCCTGATGAACTTGCCTCAGTGGAGGAAGCCATTGCACCTCATTTAGGATTCTTTACTAGACTGGACATTTTCTCCTAAGGAAAATTAAATTCCTGTTGGTTTCTTTAATTGTTCTACTCAGACACGATGCCTTTGAATATCGTTCTTGTTGCAGTCATTAGGCAAGCAATTGCACTTTGAAGGCACTCTGGAGACTGCAGCCATCCTGCCAAGGACAGTGGCTTTTCTTGCTTGTTTCACGTGCATTTTTGCTTGTTTAAATAAATTCTGTACGCACTGTATGACTTTGAGACTTTTTCCCCCCGCCTCTTATCTCAAGGCCCCAATTAACTTTAGTTATTACTCAGAGTAAGAGCGCCTAAGTGGGCTGGGAGAATTCCCAAGAAAAGCACATTAAAGCTGTAGCCCTGTGAGCCCCACACTTCCCAGCTCTGTTCCTGCAGGGAGAGACAGAGCGGGGTTGAAGCTGGAGAACTTTTACCTTGAAATAGCAGAGCCTGAAGGTCTCAGTGCTGGGCTGTGCTGTGACAGGGCAGCGGCCCTGTCAGCCCTACCTGCTCTTGTGTTCATGTGCCACGGGAGAGCCGAGCATCTGCGTTAGCTGGGCAGAAACCCGGGGCCTGTTCGCCTGAAGGGGCCGAGGGCGGGTGTAGAGCCCGGGCCGGGCTGCCAGAGCCTCCCGGGCTCCCGGCTGGGTGCAGAGCCCGGGCTGGGCTGCCAGAGCCTCCCGGGCTCCCGGCTGGGTGCAGAGCCCGGGCTGGGCTGCCAGAGCCTCCCGGGCTCCCGGCTGGGGCTGAGGGGCTCCCACAGCCTCCCTGAGGGAGTGGGACTGCACCTCCCGACATGCCCCGCGGGACCCCGCCTCCCTCTCCGGCACTACACTTCCCAGTGCGCCCCGCGCGGCGGCGCCCCCGGCGTCCCGCGGCGGGGCCGGCGCGTGGGGTGCCGGGAGCGGTAGTCCCCTTGCGGCGCGCGCGCGCCGCCAGGCGGGCCGGGGCGTGTCCTCGGGGGTATATAGCCAGCCGGAGGGGCAGGGGGCTGCACTCTACCGCCGCCGCCCCTCTCTCCAGCAGCTTCTATGCAATCCTCGGCCATCGCCGCTCCCCCCTGCGTCGAGCCCGCGCCGGCCTCTCAGACTAGGTAGGGCCGCGTGGGCTGGCGCCGGTTGCGGTGTGTGCGTGTCGGAAACGGGGGGCATCAGGGGAGAAGGGGGGGGCGCCTTCAGGCCGCAGGGTACCGGAGGGGATGGGGGGCAGGGGGGCGCTGGGCCGGATTTCCTTAGGGGGAGGGCTGGGGGTGTTGGTCGGGCTGGCGAAGCTGTACCCCCTCCTCCCCCCCTTTCCTCCTCGCCGGCGGTGGTACCTGCGTGCCCCGTCCCCCCCTCGCCGCTTGTGGTACCTGCCTCCGCCGTCCCCCCCGCCGGCGGTGGTACGTGCCGCCGCCCCGCTCCTCCGGCGCCAGCTGGGCCCGCGCGGCTCGCGCGGAGCCGCCACGTGACCGCTGCGCGGCTGCCGCCATCTTTGTTGGGGGCAGCCGACGCCGCGGGGCGTGTCACGTGACCGGCGGCCCGTGAGGAGCCGCCGCCGGGGTTTGGCGCCAAGGGCGGGGGGCGGGGCCGGCGGAAGGCGGGAAAGGCCCATTGTCTGTGCGGGACCGGCGGGCGGGGCCGGCACAGCCCCCGCAGCCACAAACACCGCACTGCGGGGCCTCCGCCCGCTCGGGGTGCACGGCCACCTCTGTTCCGCGCTCCTGGTGCCGTGAAATGGGTGGGCAGTTCTAAACGCGAATAAAAAGAACTATTCGATTTTCTGTTTGCAGGATGGAAGAGGAACTGGCAGCTCCTTCCACATCCACAGACAAAACAGACAGGTGAGATGGGAGGTGGGATTGTCAATATCAAATCACACAAAATCACGGAGTTACTGTGTGAAACGCAAAGGTCACCCTTCAAATCGGTTCCGAGACTTGGAGTTTAACTCCCAAGTGTGATGCAGGTGCTGAAAACCCTGTGCTCACCAGTGGTTTGCACAAATCCAGTGCATCAAGGCCTTTTCAGGGGCTGATACATATGAAAATACTAGCTGTTATTGAAGTTTTTTGGTTTTTAATTAGTGCTGGAGAGGCACAGGTATGCAGCTGGCATGTGATAGATGGTATTCCTTTGTGGGCAGCTCCTCTTGTCCCAGTCTGAGATGTTGGGCTGGACATTCTGGAAATGAAGCTATACAAGAGGCACTGAGTTAAACTGACACTTGTATCTGTCATTCTTCTCAGATGCACCGCGCTGTGCTGTGAAAAGTTTTAACTTGAGTTTATTCTTCTTGATTTAGCATTGGGGTCTGAGGCACTGGTGCTCGGTGGTGTGTTGGTGTGCAACTCCTAAAGTATATTTTTTAGCAGTCTTTGTCACAGCAGATTCTGAAACTTGTTGCAGTGATTGGATACATTTACCTGGCTTCCCTTGGTTATTGGAACTATCAGTTGTTTCAGATTTACACAAACAACCAAACAAATCCCACCTGCTCTGGTAGTTCCAACCACTGTAATGTATGCAACTCACTATTCCATAAAGCAGACTAGGTTTTGAAAGCTAAAATGATTGTGAAAACTAACAGAATCCTTTATTTTATTTATTTCCCCTTCCTCCAGTATGGATGTGGATGGAGAATCAAAGAAACTATTAGGTTTGGGACAGAAGCACTTGGTAATGGGAAATATTCCAGCTGCTGTGAATGCATTCCAGGAAGCTGCGAGTTTACTGTGAGTAGTAGGATGTTCTGTGTGTTTTTGCTGGGCTTGGGCTTCAGCTTGGCTGTTCTGATTTGGATTATGCAAGAAAGATTGGGATTTTTACCTAACATGTTTATAATTTATAATGCAGCTGTGGAGGGGGCAAAGTATTTAAAGTCACCGAAGAGTTGGACAGTGCTGTAGTTGGTGTGCAGTTTAGGTGGATTTTGTGATAGGCATTGCCAGCAGAGTTCCCTAAGGAGGGAAAGGGATTTGATAGTTTATTATGCAGGTGTTTTTTCTAGTAATTTGTTCACTAGTTTTGATCAGTCTCTGTGATTGGTACTTTTTGGGTTACAGATTAATTTCCTCAGTTGGGTGTTTGAGAGCCATAACTGAGAGAAGCATTCAATATTTGCTTAAAGCAATGGGAAATGAGCCAAGAAAGTGATCCTTTTGTCAAAGAATATTTAATGTTAAAGTTTGTAATCCAAATCTAAAGTAGGCACAGGCAAATAATTCCTTATTGTTTTTGTAGGGGTAAAAAGTATGGTGAGACAGCGAATGAGTGTGCAGAAGCTTTTTTTTATTATGGAAAATCTCTCCTGGAGTTGGCAAGGTACGGTGACAGTTTGTCATTTGGTGAAGAGTGTATCTGGTGTAACAGGATTTCACTCCTTGACAGGATTGCCCTGGGTGGGATGGGCTGTGGCACTGCAGCTTGTGCAGTTCAAAGTATGATATTAAAAAATCCAAGGGATAACAAACTCCTGTTCCCTTTAGAATGGAAAATGGTGTGCTGGGAAATGCCTTAGAAGGGGTGCAGGTGGAAGAGGAAGGAGAAAAAGCAGAAGATGACTCTGCGTTGCCAGCTGCTGATGGTATGTAAAACTGCCTGCCCTGCCATGGAGGCTCCAGGCTGTGTTTTCTTGTTGAAATGATCCAAATTTAGTCCATTGGTATCTTGGGTAGGCTGGATCATACTATTGAAACTCTTGGCAGTCTGAATGGACTCTGGTTTTGTTTGGTTTTTTTTTAGTTTTGCTTAAAGATGAACAAAATCTGTAAAATATCTGTAAGGAGCTGGTCACTGAGAGCATGTGTAAAGGGTCACCAGGTGTCTGTGTCCTGAACACTGCATTCAAACTCGCTTTCTTAGGCTTCACCGCTGACTCCAACTGCTTTGTAACCTTGTAGCAGTACAGTGTGTGTAGTTCCAGAGGTCAGAGTCTCTGTACAAAGTCCCAAGAACAGTGGCTATTTTATGCTGCCTGCAGCTGGAGAGGATACAGGAATTCCTGTCCATCCAGGCTGTTAAAGCACCTCTTGCTTAGCTGTGACTAAAATCGCTGCACAACCGCACACTGCTTGAGTGGCCGCTTGCAATGCTGCAGTCTAGGGAAGGGGAAGGGACTTGCTTAGATGAAGCAGCTATGTTGGTTGTCTCCTAATTCCTTGTACTTGGAAAATGAAGCTTTTAGGAGTGTCATCCAACTTGGTAACAAACCAACACACTGGAGGGTCTTGAGGGTGGTGTTGTCAGTGCCCGTTAATGTCTTTATCACTAAACTCGAAGAAATGTTTATGCTTCCTCAATCATGTAGAAGAAGCAAGGGAGGAGTTGAGAGAACAGGTTTATAACGCCATGGGGGAAAAGGAAGAGGCCAAAAAGTCCATGGAAGAGTCTACAGTACTCTCTGAGAAGGAAATCAAAGAAGAGGATGTTGAAATGAAAGAGATTAGAGAAAAAGAACCCAAAGAAGCAGCTGCTGACAAGGATGTGAAGCCCAAAGAGGCTGAAGAGAAGACTGAGATTTCTGTGGGAAAAGAAGAAACTTCAGAAGAGCAGAAGAAGCAGGTCCCTGTGAAAGAGGAGTCAGCTGTGGAAGAGGAGGTAGAAAAAGAGCAGAAGATGGTGCCTGAGGACAAGGTAGAGAAGGCAACTGAGAAGAAGGAGAGATCAGCAGAAGTGTCAGACAAGGAGGGAAAGGCAGCTGGAGAAGAGGCTGAAGCAGGAGAAGGGGCTGTGGAAGAGAAGGGAGAGATGAGAGAACAAGCAGCAGAAGCAACAGAAAAAGAACCAGCTGTGGAGAAGGGAGAGGCTGTAGACGGGCAAGCAGAGACAGCTGTGGAAGAGAAGGCAGAAGCACAGGCAGCAGCTGCTGTGGAACAGAAAGAAGCGGCAGAAGGGGATGCAGAGGTGGGTGAACAGAAGGCAGAAGAGAAACAAGAGCCAGTAGAGACAGTTACAGAAGAGAAACCAGGTGAATCTAAAGAGACAGAGTCCTCAAAGGAACCTCTGCCCACAGAGGGCAAAGAGCCACCTAATGACATGAAAGAAAATGCTGAAGTTGCTGCTAAGGTAGAGAAAGAGGAAAAGAAGGAAGACCTGATGGAAGAGGGTGAAGGTGCTAAGGTAGAAAAAGAAGAGAAAGATGACCTGATGGAAGAGGGAGAAGGTAACACTGAGAGGAGAAAAGTACTTGTGGGTGGATGACTTGAATTTGGCTAACAATGGGTAAAAAGTGTTCCATTCAGAATTTTCTGTTTG